GCAGTGTCCTCTTGTTTACAGCTGTAGCCCCAGTGTCAAGCATGGTGCTTGGTACATTATACAGGGACTCAGAAAACATTTATCAAATCAGTAGATGAAAATCATGTTAATTTGCAATTTAGTCATTTATTCATCCACTATTTATTGGGGATAAAATCCAGACACATCTTTTAGAACTTATAGTATAGGGGGGAGACTGACGTTCAGTAAATAATCACACAAAGTGAATTATGTCATGATAAGAACCTTGAAAGTAAAGTACAGGTAGCAGTGAGAACATTCAGCAAGGTGATCTGACTCAGTTCAGGGTGGGGTGCTCAGGCCAGGCCTCCCAGGAGAAGTCATATTTGAGTTGATAGCTAAGGATGAGTCGGTTAGCTGGGTAGAAGGAAGGTTGGGTGGGGGTAGATGAGAAGAGCACCCAGGCATAGAGAACAGAGTGCAGAAGCACTTTGGTGGGAAGGAACACAGTATAGTTCAGGAAGTGTGGCTGACACATGGAGTCTCATAAACCATAGTGTAACATTTATTTGCAAATCCAGTGGAGCAATAGCAGCCAAAGAATGCCATTGGAAGTTTTAAGGATTTTAAACAAGAAGTGATAAGCTAAAAGTTTATTAAAAAAAAAAAAACTTGTTTCTGGAAAATAGATTTTAGAAGGACAAGCAGGGAAGTAGAGAGATTGGTTTGGAAGCAGTTGCAGTGTCCAGGCAAGAGGTGATGGGGCTTGGTCTGAGATGGTCTCACTGAGCTTGGAAAGGAGCTGGATATATTTAACTAACGAGAAACGTGGATTTCCAGAGATGGAAGTCACCTTAAAAAATACAAAACTCACCATTAATCAAAGGTAGAAAAATTAAAATGAATAATAGAGTTCCTTAAAGTCTGCATTTTACAGAAAAACAGGTTAATTAGATGACTGTGAAGGGCCATTAATATTTTTATTGAATAAAAGAAAGACTGAGAAATGTTTGAGAAGGAGCAAAGATGGGAAATATGAGAGACTTGAGGTTAAAAAATGAAAAGAGAGAGACAGAGTAAGAAAGGTATGTGAGCCTGAGAGTTGTCAGGTTGGAGAAGGAAAGACTGAAAGGAAACGACCATGAGGGAGCAGGGATGTGCTCTCGGGTAGATGCAAAGAAAGGCTACTGGGTGATGCTGGGCTCCAAGGGGTCTGGAGACAGGGTACACAGGTAGACTAAAAGATGAGGAGTAAAATAGGAAGCGGAAAGGACAGGAAGGGGAGATGATAACAGATGAGGGAGGTATGGGTAAGTGGGGGATGCTTGGTGGGATGGGGTAGAACTCGGGGAGAGTGACAGAAGAAACCTGAGGGTGAGGTGGGGGTCTGAGGACTGACTCAAAGGCCACATTAGAGCCAGATGTTCTGGAGGACGGCACGGTGAGAGGGCGAGAGAGGGCACACAGTCAAGTCCAGTCTCCCGATGAGGGTGAGAAACTAGTGTAGGGCTGGGGGAGGAGGAAGAGGGAAAGGTGGAGGACCGGCTGGAAAAACTCCAAGGGAAGAGAATGGTGGGTGTGGCCAAGACTCTGACCCAGGCCCTACCCTGCTCCCTCCCTTCGCTGGTTTCTGGCCTCAGTGGTTTCCTCCTTCCACCGCAAGGACCCTTGAGGCGAGATAGGACACTAAATGCGGGGCGGGGGGTGCCAAGGGCCCCCGCCATTAAGTCACGTCCAGCAAAGATCGGAATAGGGGGCGGAGGAGATAGGTGCTGGGGCACCGCGCCTGGAAGCCAGGTGTCCGGTGGAGGCGACAGCGGTGAGGGGTGCTAGGCGGTGGCTCTGGCGGTGGAGACTCTAATTAGGCAGCTGAAAGTGGGCAGTTCTGAGAAGTCCCCGGAAGGTGGGGTCGGCGAGGAAAGAAGACTGAAGGGAAAAAGAGTACAACAGAGGGTGGGGGCGAAAGTAGGGCGGGATAAAGAGCGAGCGCACGGAGTAGAAGCCGAGAGTCCCCGCGGGGGGTGGGGGTGGGGAGGCGGAGCCAGGGCTAGCCTGGGGCATCTCTCCCGCTCAGGCTCCGCCGCGTTCCTGGCGCACCTGTCGGGGGAAGGGACGTCCTTCCGCCCGAGGGACCTCCAGTCCGAGGGGCTTCCTCAGAACTTGGGACTCCAGAGAAGACTCCACCTCCCCCCTCCAGTGGTCCGAGCCCAGCAAGTGAAGGGGCGTGACGCTGGGGCTCAGGTTTCTTCCTCCTCACCTGAGCCAGGAGGGGTGGGGGCAAGGACTTCCGGCTCAGGTGAGTGTCCCTTCGGTGACGTCATGTCACTCTCGGCCGCCCCTCGGTCCCTCCCCGCCTCGCGCTCCCGGTGCCCGCGGGGGCGCGCCCCCGACGCCCTACTTATACTCAGGTGCGCAGCACCTGTCCGCCCGCACCTGCCCGCTCACCGCTGAACGACCTCTAGTTCGCACAGCAGCCTCGGGCCGACAGCCCAGGATACTCTGGGGACTTCCAGCACCCGGGGGCCGCGCCCGTACGGCCCCTCCACCTTTTGTTTGGGAAGAGTCGCCGAGCGCCCGAGGGAACCGCCAGGCATTTGCGGATCGCTTTTGTCGGTCACCAGTCCTGTTTGCTGTGCCGTGAGACTCTCGCCTTGCCGGAGGGGTCGGTTTGTGTTTACTCCGGAGACCAGATTTGCAAGCAGTCGACCAACTTCTTTTTTGCCTCTTTGGGTGACTTAAAAACTCGCCCGCCCGGCGTCCCCGTCTATTCTGAGGGCGGAAATGGCCAATTCGGGCCTGCAGCTGCTGGGCTTTTCCATGGCTCTGCTGGGCTGGGTGGGCCTGGTGGCGTGCACCGCCATCCCCCAGTGGCAGATGAGCTCGTACGCGGGCGACAATATCATCACCGCCCAGGCCATGTACAAGGGGCTGTGGATGGACTGCGTCACGCAGAGCACCGGCATGATGAGCTGCAAAATGTACGACTCGGTGCTCGCCCTGTCGGGTAAGACCGCGGGACCGACGGGGTGGATGCTCCAGAGGTGAGGTCGCGGGGTGAGTGAGGGGCCGGGCTCGAGGCCCCACGGCCCGACGCGCTGGGTTGCCCCGGAGCGCGGCTGGAGAGGAGGAAGCGGTGGGGCCGAGGTTCTGGGACTGCACGTGCGCGGGTCCGGCTGAGCCCCTTTTCGCCCACGGACGGGCCTCGTCTCCCGGCCGAGTGGCAGCGGCCCGCGGCCCAAGCCGCTCCCGGGAAGCTGAGTACTAGGGCGCGGCCTTCCCCTCCCCCTTCCCCGACGAGGCCAAGGTCTCTGCCATCTCCCGCCCTTTTCTCGGACAAAAGGCGGCGCGTGCTGGAGCCCGCCGGGTTGGGTTGGGGGCCGCGGGGTCGAACCGAGGGCGGCCGAGGAGCCGTGCCCCCTGTCTGCCCCCTGGGCCGCCGCTTGCGGCTTCTAATCTTATCGGCCGATTAGCCGAGGCCACAAACCGTGGCCTCGATAGTGGGGTCAAGAGCTGAGACGAGAGCCGGGACTGCGGGTGGCACCGGGGCTGCAGCCACCGCTACTGGGGCTCAGGTCACCACCTCAGTTTTCCTTCGACGTCCCCTTTCACCCTTCCCCCTCCGCGGGGGCAGTTTCATCGAAACCTTGGCGCCCCGGGCGGATCCTAGTGCCGAGAGGGCGGGGCAGAGCGGGAAGGCCATGGAGTCGGGAGAGGGCGGGATCCGCCGGCTCCAGCCCGGGACCCGGGTCTGAAGCGGTCCAAGGGCCGCCCCGTCATTTCCAGCAAGGATGGCATCCTTACCCCTTTTCCGCAGCGGCCATGCAGGCCACTCGAGCCCTAATGGTGGTGTCCTTGGTGCTGGGCTTCCTGGCCACATTCGTGGCCACGATGGGCATGAAGTGTACAAACTGTGGGGGAGACGACAAAGTGAAGAAGGCCCGGATAGCCATGACGGGAGGCATCATTTTCATCTTGGCAGGTGAGCCACAGGTCCAAGGTGGGGCCAAGGACTCTCTTTAACCATCCTGAAGGGGTAAGTGTGGACACAGTGCGGGTTTGGCGGGTGGCTCACAGTATCTGAATCCTTGTTTTTTCTCCAGGTCTTGCTGCCTTGATAGCTTGTTCCTGGTACGGCCATCAGATTGTCTCAGATTTCTATAACCCATTGGTCCCCATGAATGTTAAGTAAGTATGAGAGCCCTACCTCCTAAGGGGTCTGGGGTTGGGAGAGGCAGACCAGGGTTCGTGACCCCAATCCCTTCTCTCCACAGGTATGAGTTTGGTCCTGCCATCTTCATTGGCTGGGCAGGGTCTGCTCTGGTCCTCCTGGGAGGTGCGCTGCTCTCTTGCTCCTGTCCTGGGAGTGAGAGCAAAGCTGGATACCGTGCGCCTCGCTCCTACCCTAAGCCCAACTCTGCCAAGGAGTATGTGTGAGCTGGGATGCCCCTGCCCCAACCTGGCAACCTACAGGCGCCTCCTTATGAAAGGACCTGGGGCAGAGAGCTCAGCCTGTGGGAAGGGTGCCAAGCAGAAGCCTTAGGTCACTCTAGCCCAGCACACCATGTACAGTTTCCTGGGGGGGTTGGGTGGGGGGGACAAAAAAGGGAGGGTGTGCTTTTTGTACAGTAATAAAAATATGTTTTGGAAAGTAGGCTTTTTTCCCATCTCCTTCATGGCATCTGCAACAACTCAGGGGCTGGGCTTCCCTCATCCACTCCCAGCCTCCAGTCCTGTCCACTTGTGACTCTTGCTTAAATAGCAACCAAAGAACTTCAGCTTTTAATAAAAAAATAAAAGATTTTATTAGGCTTGGGGGGAGGTGGTGTTCTTATCCTGTCACTTTCTCTTACGCCTCCAGCCCACTTCTCACTGGAAGCTGTTCCCTGGCTCATGGGTCACAGGGCAGGGCCTCCATGGAAACAAGAAACAAAGATGGAACAGAGACAGGTTAAGGCCAACACACACAACTGAAGGACGGTTATGGGCCCATAGTCTTCCTCTTCCCCTCCAACTGCAGTTTAGTCAAATCTCCTAGACAGTCAAACATCTAGGTCATCATCTGGGTCTTCTTGATCCAGGTCATCATAAGCATCTGGCTCATAGAAGATGTGGCTGGTAGCCTGGCTCAGCCCAGGGCGCAGTAGAGCCTGCTGTCTGAGGAGAGATAAGGGGAGAATTGGTGCTGGGGAGGGTGGGTAAAGGGTCATGTCTGGACACCCTCTTTCTGTGTGACAGTCACTCCCTCTCTGGCTTCCGTGTCTTCTTGGTCTAAATCCCTTTGTCCAACCTTGTGTAGCACCAACTGGTACAGGGATGGATACTTGTAGACAGCTCTTGTAACACCCTAAGTTCTTAGCAGCTTGAGGGCAAGGATACTGTGTAGTCTTGCTTCACCCGCCCACATGCTGGGCACAGAACAGGTGTCTACTAAGCCCTTATTAACCTGCCACTGGCATACCATCTAGCTTTCTGCCCTCCCAGTGCTGCTACCTGGAGATAGGGCCACTTCCCTGGGGTCTGGTCTGGCTCAGCCCAGGCCCAGATTACTTTGGGGACATCAGTGGGGGACCCAAGGCTCTAATGGAGAGAAAAGAGACATCAAGGTCCTTCCTTTGACATTGCTGGAGTTTGGGTGGGTAGAGAGCCACTCCCCAGACTTGATTCTGGAGGTGGACTTCAGCCCCTATAAAGTTGAAAAAGTTAATCAACAACCTGCTGTCGCCCCACCTCTTAGGCCCAACGCTGGGCTCAACTCAGGGACTTGGGCACTGAGGCCCCAACCTTACTTTTCCGAGCTGAACTGGAAGGGCAGAGTCAGGCTATCTTTGACTTCTCTCTCCTTCTTGGACAGATGAAGGTTAAAAGTCAAATGAGTAGTGGGGTCCACCTGCAGGTACAGAAGAAGCTGCTACTCTGCGCCATCCCTGGAATCCCTGACCCCACGCCCCCAATGTCTGCAGTTTTTATCCCCCTCTCCTTTTTCCAGACCCCAAATTTCATCCCCTTGTTCCTGCCCTGGCTGTCTTAGGTACCGAGGGAGTATGAGGATCTGAGCGGGGCTGGGATTCCAGTGGCGGCTCCACTTGGAGCTCCAAGCTGAAGTCAGGAAGGATGGAGAACCACTGAGTCTGGAGAGAAGTAAGAAGAGGGTTAAGAAAGTTTTTTCTATCTTACTGAACAAACCAGAGAACCAGGACCTGCCACTCCAGCTCTTAGCCACCTATGTGACTGGCTTCTTCCGGCTCTTGCGTTCCACCTCAGCCCCTCAAACCTCTCCATGGAGACCACTTTTGGCTTTTTCTCCTTTTCCATTTCCTGGAAGGCAGTGTCTTTTGTTGGTTAAGCTTATAAGATTTGAGCTTTCCAGGCTATAAAATGGGGATAATAAAACAATCTACCTCACAAGGCCTCTCACATAAGAGAAAAAATGGGGGAAATGCTACAAGGATGAGGGCCCAGGGAAGTGCTCCATCACATCATCTGTTTTACTGCTCTCCCTCTCTGTCTGACCCCAACATCCAGTCCCCTGCTTCTCCTGACCTGGTGGGTGGGGCGCTGTCTTGGCCTCCGATAGAGGATGTGAGCCGATGCCTGGCCCATCGTACCGCTCAGGGTCACCTCGGTCTGAGCAAGGCTGCTCAATGCTCCCAAAGGGCCTGGGCCATGAAGCTCTTCATGCAGCAGGCCCAGCACACGCACCTGCTCACCTGGGGGGCTATCACCTGCAGAGGGACAAGAAATGTGCACGAAGGGCAGTAGGGAGCATTCCAGGGATGCTTGGGATCAAACAGTGAAGAGGAAAAAAATAAGGCCCACATCTCAGAACTCTGGCCAGATCCTGACTGACCTCCGTTAGTTTCACCACCCTGCTCTGACTTCTTTCAGGCCTCACCTTAATACACATTCTTATTCCAGCAAATATCAAATCAAGGCACTGCACTGATCTCAATCCTCAGGAGCGCCCCAAGGCCTCCAGGAAAGAACTCACACTTTCAATGTTTGTTCTCCACTTGCTTTCAGTCTCATCTCTTGTACACTGAACTACCTGCAGTGTCTGGAACTTGCCAAAAATCCCAGTCGGTGCCTTAGATCCCCTCCCATCTTTCTTTTTAGCTGCATTTAGTGTCAGGCACTAAAGACTTGCATTTTTAGGCTGAACTGTATGAAACTGTTAACATCTGATCATATCTGACCTATAAAAACAGCACTTCCAAGTGGTTCATCCTAATACTATAAACTCCATCCTCCAGAGGAAACTGAAGCACTGTCAGACCGAACACCTGTGCACCGAGCTGGGTATCTGACTAAAGCCCATCCTAGGACCCACTGTACTTTAGGGGTAGTCCCAGAGCTATCAGCTGGACAAATTGGTCTGGCTGACCCTTTGATCTTCAAGCCTTCCTTAAGGTACTCTGTGCATGTTCCTTTATCATTACAGTCCTTATCAGACTATCCAGTAAATTGCTTGTTTACTAGTCTGTACCCTTTATGGGACTTTGAGCTCCTGCAAGGCAAGGACCCAACACAGTGTATGTATATATTTAACATTTGTTGAATGAATGAATGACAGAAAAAAAAAAACTTGGAAAAGAAAAAAAGAATGACTGATAGCATTATGAAGCAACCAAGAAATAGAATAAAGATAAAAGTGATGGAAGAAGGCCCAACTGGAGATCCCTGATATGTTTCTTGTTAGGGTGGAGAGGGGCACAAGGTTGGCAGGGGGAATGTATGAGGGGAAGAAACAAATGAGAAGCCTCACCAGGGCAGGAGTCCTGACGGCTCAGCGCATGCAGGGTCTGGCAGAGTGTGGGGCAGGGAAGGTGATGCAGCAACCAGCTGAGGGAATCAAGAGCAATGGTGGCAGGGCCAGAACTTGTCCTCTTGTCCAGGGCCCTCAAGGCTTCCAAGGGCCCGCCAGGAAGGGCTTTCCCTGGTTTTGACCAGCTGAGAGGGTCTCTAAAGAGATCATGGTAAACCAGTCTGTAAAGGGAAAATAAAAGGCATGATTATACTACTTCCCTGCCCCTGCCATCTCCAACTTTGGCTTCTGATATTTGTGGTTCTGTTTCCTTGATTTTCACTAATATTTTAAACATCAGTGAAAAGGTGTTTTTTTTTTTTTTAACTGATAAGTAGAATACAGTGATTGACAGCACTGACTTTGGTGTCAAAACAGACCTGAGCTCCAAGCTTGGTTCTACTTGCCCAAGGTCACCTGATACATTATTTCATCTAAGACTCAGTTTCTTCACTTATAAAACAGGAATACCAACCTCCTGACATTTAGCACAGTACTTGACAAGTACTAAACACTTAATAAATGTTAACTATCATCATTATCAAATATTTCCTGAGTGGTGCCTAAAATTTATCATTCTCTGAATGGATGAAGAGGAAGGAGAGGACCTGAGACATGGTTCCTGCCTGTAGAACAGCTTAGAGAAGGTCAAGAAGCAAGTCCTGTCATACTAACTACAGATAAAATAACAATTCAGGTAAAGAAACTGGCATGGACTAGAAATCCTGGGAAAGCTTCACAGTGGCAGAACTTGTTCCCAGACACCTCCTTTGTATCTTCTGCCTCTCTTGTGACTGTCATCTTTACAGCATCACGTCTACTCTAACAACTGATAAAAAATTTGGGTAGATGCAAACTACCATTATCCAGCTAACTACACAGACCAGGAAATAATTTTTCTTAACCAGCCAACATAGGTTCAGGGACCTCCTGATCTGGGTGCTTTCCTCTGCCCCACATCAGTCTAAGTCCTGGAAGATGTAGTACCTGCTAACATCCTTTTAATTTGTCCCAAACTGTCCACCCTGCCTTAAGCCAGGCCTCTGTCTCCTTCTACCATTATTCTCTGAGATTTCATTGGAATACGAATTCTACTTCAATCACTGCTCTAACCAAGCACAGTTCCTGGTTCACAATAGCCCTTAACCAGCACTTCTACATCTGAGAGAACCTGCATTTTTGCAAAACCCTCCCTACTTGGTCTCCCTAAGTCCAGGCTCCCAACCCATTCTCCCCAGTGTGGAGTCTTTCTAACAGGTATGATGTTATCACTCTCCTTTCAAATTTCCCTTTTCATGCTCTGTAGGACTTTTCACTATTATCAGATACTGCTCTTTGTCTGACCTCAGGAAGCTCCCACATCTCCCACAAACAGGTATGGCTTCCATGTTGTTGTTTAGTCACTAAGTTGTGTCCTACTCTTTTGTGACTCCATGGACTGAAGCCCACCACGCTCCTCTGTCCATGGGATTTCCCGGCAAGGATACTACAGTGGGCTGCCATTTCCTTCTGCATGGGATCTTCTGAGAGAGGAGGGATTGGACCGGCGGCTTCTGCCGCATCTCCTGGACAGTAGGCAGATTCTTTACTACTGAGCCACCAGGGAAACCGGATGGCTTCCATATTTCCCTAATTATGCATAAATTGTTCCTTCTGCTTGTAGGACAAATCCCTATGTAGCCTGCAGTTAGTGTTGATGTACGCTGATCACTAGACTAATTAACTCAAAAGGCAGAACATGTTTATTCTTATTCTCCAGGGCAGTCTCTAATGCTAACCTGCACTGTCGGCCTTTTACTACACTATCCCTTTCATCTTCTGTAGTCCCTGTTTTGGATTCTCCATATACTACTCTTCATCATTCCACTTACTAATTCCTACCTCTTTTGAAAGACCCATTTCCATTCAATTAATTGTCGACTAGGCTTTATGCTTCTCTGGTGGCTCAGGTGGTAAAGAACTGGCCTGAAAGCAGGAGACCTGGGTTCGATCCCTGGGTGGGTAAGATCCTCTGGAGACGTGAATGGCAACGCACTCCAGTATTCTTGCCTGGGAAATCCCATGAACAGAGGAGCCTGGACTACAGTCCCCGGGGTCGCAAACAGTCGGACACAACTGGGTAACTGACACTTTCACACTACTACATAACAGGTTTTTTCCCTGTTGCTGGAAGGGAAATTCCTCAGCAACATTAGTCCCAAATCCAATTAAAATTCTTCCAATTTGTACTTACCGGCTGTTGATACTGGAGTCAAAACCTTCACGAAACTCTTCTTCGCTCACTTCACAGCCCAGGACATGGACTTGCTCCCCACTGAGGCAGAGATGAGGGGGACTGTCAGAGTGGGACCCAGGCTCCCATATCGGATGAAACGGCAAGACCCTGCGGGATACTCACCACAACGCCGATTTCTTGACAAGCGCCTTCAGGAGACTACGCCCCTCCCACTCCACGGAATCTGGAAAGAGCGAATGACAAACAGCCTGAGAACACTGAGGTTTTCGTATTCACGAAGTAGTCGAGACCTCCACCCCTGGCTTGTGACCTATAGCTCCTCCTCTCCACTTCCGCCTCTTGAGCCGTGTTCCAAAGCCCCTGTGCCTTCGACCCTCACCCCGAAGCAGCACCAGGCCACCAAGGGCCAACAGCGACTCCAACATCCCCAAATTGCGTCCAGTCCCTCTTCGGACGCCCTCTGATGGCGTCACTGTCCATTGCCCCGCCCCCTCCACGTGAAAGGGGCGAGGCATCCGCGATCCCTCCCACCACTAAAACCTGGTATAGCCTGGAGAGGTGATTAGGTTCACTATCCCAGAAAGGCGAACAGGGAATAGTGCCTCCTGACTGCTGGTACACACACGTAGGGACGACGCCCCTCTCTACAATTTTACCGTGACCGGGGCGGAAAGAGCCGTTGGGCAGTTGTCCGTGGGAGGGGGAGGTGGTCGCGCGAGCCCTTCCGACGGTCTGCGCCTCGGGGAAAAGTGACGTCATTCCGCTCAGCCCAAGCAATTCAAGGCGGGCCTGCTATGCTCCAGGCCCCGCCCACTCATTGCCCCCGCGCATGCGCAATATTGGGGGCCTTGTTCGGAGCACGCCCCACTTTCCTTATCCCCATCCCCCATAGACGGAGTAGGGGGAACTTTAGTCCAGGTGAAGCGAATACACGTCACCACCGGAAGTAGTGTCAGAGGGGAAGAGGAGGGGGGAAGAAAGGAGGAGGGGGCCCTTTGGGCGGTAAAATGGCGCCTGTCAGAGTGGGAAATCCAGCTGCAGAGGCTGCAGCCCCGCTCACCAGCGGTTGAGGCGCCCCCGACCTCGGGGAGGGGGAGGCCGCTCTGGTCCAGCCATCCGCGTCCTTCGGCTCCCCCTCCCCTTCTTCCTGGATCCTTGGCTCACCCGGCCCGTTCGCCACCGCCTCCGCGGCCCTTCGCGCGCCGCTGCCCCCGCCCGCCCCTTTCCCGCGGGCAGCCCCCTAGCGCGCCTGCGCAGCGGGCTACCCTCCGCTTCCCCCCTTCCCCTCCCCCTTCCTTCTCCCTCCCTCCCTTCTCCCTAGCCCCCTCCCCCATAGCCCCCTCCCCCAATTCTCCATCCCCTTCCCTCCTGGTCTCGGAGGACCCCACTGTAGCCCGACCTGTCTCGGCCCGCAACCTCGGCGAAGCCGTCGGTGCCACTCCCCGCCCATGTGGGCCCCCGCGAGCTGCCCACGCCTGTCCCCCAGCTCCCCGTTCCGCTGGGCTTTTCCCTCGTCGTGGGTGGCTTTGTGAGCCGCCGGCTCCGTGCCCCTCTTTGCAGCCTCTTCTGCCACTCGGGGCCCCCGTTCCCCCTCCCGGTGGCGGGGGGCTGCCCCCGGGGGGCTGGCGGAGCTGGGCCGCGGGGGCCCCGGGGCCGGCGGTGCCGGGGTCATCGGGATGATGCGGACGCAGTGTCTGCTGGGGCTGCGCACGTTCGTGGCCTTCGCCGCCAAGCTCTGGAGCTTCTTCATTTACCTTTTGCGGAGGCAGATCCGCACGGTGAGCCTTGGGTGGGCGCTGGTGGTGGTGGGGACCTCTGTTAGTGGTGCTCAAGGGTTTTCGGAAAGTGTCGGGCCTCTGTTTGGGCCTAGCAACGGAGTCCTGGCGGCAGCTTCTACCGCTAGAGAATTAGAACACCCGTAGCTGGGCATGAGGTGGGATGGGAAAAAGGAAGACCCTTGCGGTAGAACCGAGATGGTGGAGGGGGGCTAGACGGTAAAAGGATTTGGCAATTCTTGGGGGCCAGGGTGGTGGGTGGGGCGCTCTTTAAGAAAGCTGGAGTTGTTGCTAAAGAAACCGAGAGGCGGGGAACACCTGTTTGATGGCAGGAGATCCATCGGTGTGGGCTAGTCAAAGACCCTCCTATTATTTGGAATCTCCGTGTGTGTTTGGTCTTAAGACAAGGAATATACCGGCTCCTGCGCCAAGGGTGGGGGTGGGTGGGAAAGCGTATGTGACAAACAAGAGTGGGAACTTAGGAAAAGCCCTGGGTGTGCAGGAGAAGCCCCTGCGGTTCAGATTAAGGAAACTCTAACCAAAAGGTCCTCAAAACCCAGTTCATAGTGTGAGTGTGAATATTTAGGCTTATCATGACTCTGGGATTGAAAAACGCATAAAAATGCGTTTATGATGGTCATCTTTAGTTGCAGAAGGGAGCACATTAAAGTTTGAATGTCTTCATCAGAAGACGGTGCTTGTCAATTGTAAAGACTTCAATCTGAGGGCGTGCTTGTTTTTCCAGGAGACCCCAGTGTTGTGAGGCATACTGTGGGGAGTGTATCTCTGGGTTCCCTCCCCCATAGCTTTTCTCCAAGGTCAAAGCTCCTTAGGCTAACATAATTTAATAAATGTGCTGTGTGTTCTCACACCCATGGGGGAGAATCCACTGAAGGAGGCTGGGGAGGACTCAGGGAGTTGGGGTGTCGAGAATCTCCAGTCTGTGCTCTGGCATAACTCAATAAAACTGGAAGAAATAAAATGTGGTAGGGGCTGCCTAGGTCCAAGAATTTCCAGACAACCCTGAGTGGTAGTGGTGGAATGGGCCTGGCCTTGGCTTCAGTGTCTCCTTTATCAGACTACTTTCACTTTTTGATTTAGGGTGAGGATTGTTTCTGGGTGGTCATGGTTGTAGGCAGGACTATTTCCCCAAGACAAGGGTTAGGAACTAAGAAGAATCTGAGGTCAGAGATGCTGAGGTGCGTATGTGGCTAGCTCCTGGGGTTTTCCTTCCATGTTAGGTGCTGTCCTCTCTTCCTGGCCTTGCAGAGAGCATCCCCCTTGCTTCCGCTTCTTTTAGGGGAGAAAATGGTTTTCTGGTTGCAGAGATGTGCACCAGCCCATCTAGAGACAGGTTCCCTGACCTCCCAGTCTTTTGTCTTCCCTTCCTTCCTTCCAGTCTGGTTTCTACCCCCCCCCACCCCCCCGCCCCCTTTCTGGCAGATGCTTAGAGCATTCCCTACATGCCCAGCATGTGCAACCCGAGATAGCAGAACAGGACACCCGAGCTGTCGCGGCCCTCATCTGCAGCCCTGCGAGAAAAGAAGGGCAGATGCCTTGGGATTAGGGGGAGAGGGCCTTTGGTTTGCAAGTGGGGAGCCTGGTTCTGGTGAGGCTTGGAGCCTAGGGATGGACTGTGCCTAGAAGAAAAGGGCAGAGGAGGGAATCACCAAGCTCTGCATGCGAGAGACCTGAGTGTTGGAAACAGGAGTCTCTAGAGAGACGGAGAAGCTGTAAGACCAGGCTGGTGACATCCTTGTCCCTTCCTCACCTCAGACTCACAGCCCTTCACTCTGGCCTTCTTGGTGCTCTATCAGTCTGCCTAGTGAGTGGGGCTTTCCGGTGTTCTCTGCCTTGCCCTGGGTACCAGGATAAGGAGGCTGTTCAGAAGGCTGAGGCTCTCTGCAGCTTGTGACTTGGCTAGTAGAGACAGAAATGGACAGGTGGCTGGTTAAAATAGGCCTGGTGGCCCCCAGCCAGAGGAACTTAGCTGACCTGACAACCCCTGGATTCCCTCATTCTCTGTTCCCCTTAGTGACCCAAGGACCTCCCCTCCTGACACCTACCCTCTGTCCGCTAAGGATTCTGAGGTGCTCAGCTCCTAACAGGAGGTGACGGGAGTTGTCACAAAGGATTCTTGAGGTGGAGGTGGGCAGGGCCATGCATTTCCATGTAGCAGGATAATATCATGGATAACAGGACAGGTTCTTGGGTCGAACTGCAGAGTACAATCATGGCTCCACCATTTCACTGATTCTAGTGTTGAATGACCACCCTTGCAATAGTGTTCTAGGAATACAGCCATGATCAAGACAACATCCATGCTTTCATGGTCTTCATTCTTACTGGAGGGGCAAACCACTAATTCCTAGCTGTGTGGTCTTAGATTATTTAACTTCTCTCAGCCTTGGTTTCTTCATCCTTAAAACATGGGTGATATTGTTTTTATAATTATTATTAGGGTTGTTTTGAGGATTACATAAATAACCCTAAATTATACCATGCCCAATTTATAGGGGCTTCCCTTGTGGCTCAGCTGGTAAAGAATCCGCCTGCAACACAGGAGACCTGGGTTTGATCCCTGGGTTGGGAAGATCCCCTGGAGAAAGGAAAGGCTATCCACTCCAGTATTCTGGCCTAGAGAATTTTGTGGACTATACCCATGGGGTAGCAAAGAATTGGATACAACTGAGTGACTTTCACTTCACTTCAAGTTTTAGTAAATGTTCAACATGTGCTTCCTGTTGTTAGTGGGGAAGATTTCCTTGTCCAGGGTTTAACCCTCTCTCTTGCTATTCCTAGGTAATTCAGTACCAAACTGTTCGATATGACATCCTTCCCTTATCTCCTGTGTCCCGGAATCGGCTAAGTGAGTATGCTGGCTGGGAGGAACCCTAGGTGAGGTCGGGTTCAAGGTCTTGGCTGGAGGTAGGTTGGTGTTACCCCTTTCCCTTGTGGTTCAGGCCAGGTGAAGAGGAAGATCCTGGTGCTGGATCTGGATGAGACACTTATTCACTCCCATCATGATGGGGTCCTAAGGCCCACAGTCCGGCCTGGAACGCCTCCTGACTTCATTCTCAAGGTGTGTGGGAGTGGGAAGTGATGGAATAACTTGTGTCTGTAATTCTGCTCAGATTCTTTCCCCATCCCAGAGTATCTCGTCCCTGGCCCTGTCCTTGGGCCCTGGGGGCAGCCTGAAAAAAGGGAGCAAGCAGTGGGAGGGTAGGGGGTGTCCTTGAGGCCTGGGTGGAGGTGCTTAGGATTTCTCCCAGCCCTGCTACGTTCCTCCGCAGGTGGTAATAGACAAACATCCTGTCCGGTTTTTTGTACATAAGAGGCCCCATGTGGATTTCTTCTTGGAAGTGGTGAGTTTGCAGAAGCTGAAGGCAGTTCTGGGATGAAGGAATGGTTTTAGGGCTCTGGGAATGTAGAGGATTTGGAGGAATTAAGGGATCAGGAGAAATGGGCAGGGGCAGTTTTGGAGAGGGGAGGTTGTTGGATGATCAGAGAATGGCTTTCCATGGTTAGGGTTCATTTATTGTGCTGATGCAATTCTATTTTTTCATGGCCTTCCTGCTCTCTTGTTCTTGCAACTCTGAATCTTAAGGGGGTATGATGCCTAAAACTTGGAGTCTGAGGACAGTTTCAAAATTTTGTGTCCTCAGAGACATTCAGTGTTGTTGAAAAGCCTGAAGGTCTACACTGGAGTCTTAGTAAAAGGGAACTATATGTCCAAATGAACAATCACCTCTTCTGACAGCTTCCTCTTCTCCAATCTATTTCAGGTGAGCCAGTGGTACGAGTTGGTGGTGTTCACAGCAAGCATGGAGATTTATGGCTCTGCTGTGGCAGATAAACTGGATAATAGCAGAAGCATTCTCAAGAGGAGATACTACAGACAGGTAGAGGACTAGAATCTAAGCTTAAGAATGAGGCTGGGGAGGCAGGCCATCAGGGAGGGACTTCAGTTTGAGGCAACTGCCCAGGAATGGGACCTTCTAAGGCTGCGTGTGGGGGTACTACATAATCCCCTTTTGTGGGAACTGGCTACTTGTGGGCATTATTGGGATTGGGGGAGCAGTCACAGAGGGCGAGTCTCCTTTTGATGCCCAGCCCACCCTGCCTTCCAGCACTGCACTTTGGAATTGGGCAGCTACATCAAGGACCTCTCTGTGGTCCACAGTGACCTCTCCAGCATTGTGATCCTGGATAACTCCCCAGGGGCTTACAGGAGCCATCCAGGTAAGGGAGAAGGCAGTGAGTCTGGCAGGACAAGAAAGTGGTTCTAAGGAGGTATTTTGAATGCATGGGGCTGGGATTCCCTGGTTTACAGGAGGTCAGGATGCAAGCTGTTTCTCTTTCATATGAGAGTGTTCCCTGCCCCCCATTTCTGTTTCATAAATCAGATTTTTCATATCAAATTTGCTTTAGGTAAGACACAAGGTGGAAGTTTGACTAGAAGCCTTACCCTAGTATGAGATATGGTGATTAAAATTTAATTTTGTTTTGGAAGATAAATACAGAAGGTTTTACTTAGGTCATTGGGTTTGTGAGGGAGGTTATGTATTTTAAAGTTAATCACCCCCAAATAAAAGGGAAAACACCCTTTCTCTCTTGAACCCTTTATTCTCATGTGCCTTTTCACCCACTCTAGACAATGCCATCCCCATCAAATCCTGGTTCAGTGATCCCAGTGATACCGCCCTTCTCAACCTGCTTCCAATGCTGGATGCCCTCAGGTAAGGGAAGCTAGACACTTAGATTTCTGAGGAGAAGAGCGGTAGGGGATCCCAAGAAGGAATAAAAGTTTGTCCTGTTTTACTTCCTTATCTCTTTTCCCTAAGAATATAATTTTTGAACCTAGGTCTTAAGAAAACTCCTCACCTTTAGCCATTGGGTTTTGGGCAAACTGAACCTCAGCCTCAAGAGAAAATGGTGGTCCTTTTTGTCCCATGTTTTCAGTGAGGCTGCTTTACACTAGTGTAAGGAGGCTGTCCCCATGAGGACTCTACCAATGCAAGTTATTGTCGTCCCAGGTTCACCGCTGATGTTCGTTCTGTGCTGAGCCGAAACCTTCACCAACATAGGCTCTGGTGACAGCTGCTCCCCCTCCACCTGAATTGGGGTGGGGGGGAAGGGGAGGGTGAGCCCTCGGGATGCCGTCTGATGCCCTGTCCAATGGTGAGGACTGCCTGGGCAGGGTCTGCCCCTCTCACCCCTCTCTGCCCTGGGAGCCTTGCACTCCCTACGGAGTCTGGATGGACACAAGGGCCAGATTCTGAAGCAGCCTCACTCTAACTTCGTTCGCACTCCTGGAAACCCCAGACTGGGACATAAGCGGAGACCTAGGAGAGCCGCAACAGTGTCTGGTGGAGAGACACGACTGGCCAGAGTGAGACAGACATTCGGTAATTCGGGAGGCTCAAAAGAGAAGCCAAGCCAGCTTTGTTGTGATTTGATTTTTTAAAAACTCTTGTACAAAACTGATCTAATTCTTCACTCCAAGGGCTGGGCTGTGGGTGGGAAACTGGGATTTTGGGCCACTGGACTTTCCCCAAACTTGTCCCCTCCCTTACTTTCCCTCTATTTGCCCTTCCTCCTAGAGTCCCTCAGATCTGTAACCAGCTTTCTCTTTTTTTCCTTTCTTCTCTTTTAAACCATGCATTATAACTTTGAAACCAAAGCTGCCCTAGGTCCTTCTCTGGGGTTTGGGGGAATGAGGGCGGGGTTTTTGTTCACATCCACCCTGTCTACTAGGCAGAGAGAGAAAAGCCTGCTGTAGACCCTAAGGGTAGGGGAAAGGGGAGTGTTGGTTTTTCCCTGGCAGGAAGGGTCTTAGTGACACAGGATGGGCACCCTGGCGGGGAGTGAAGGGACAGCTGTGTGTCCTGAGAGAACGTGAGCTTCAGTGCCGTAGGTCGAAGTATTAAAAGAGTAGAAACCTCGACGACAAGAAAGGCCAGGCTTCGTCTGGAAGACTGGCATGTATTAGCTAAGCAGGCGCTTCCTTCGAGCGGCGGGCTGGCCCTGCCCCACGTCCCCACGTCCCCCGGGGCCCTCCTCCCTAAGCCCAAGCCGGCTCTACTTCCTCGCGCCCGCCACGTGACGCTCCGCCCTTTGAGATCACATGATTAAATCAAGTACACAGCAGCAGTGTTCTTCCGCGCTGACGTAGTCCTTACCTTTCAGACCTCCTCTCCAGTCCCTATTGGCCCACTCATTACTGGAACTTAAGCGTCCAGTGCGTCTCTCCAAACACAGGTTTCGTTTCTGCCCTCTATTCCCGGAGACCACTTTCTCCACTTGGGTACTACTTTGTTTTGGTGTCAACGGCCGCCTTCAACGTACCAACAGGTTTCGTGAATAGCTATCCTTGTAATTGCTTTTCGTCTGCATTACTTACGAAAAGAGCTTTTGGAGAGCCAAGTCTCAAATTACGATTACCATCTTTTAGTCCTTTTCATCATTACCTCCCTGGGGGGAAAGTCGGGAAATGGATTTTCAGTTATTTCCGACGATAGCAAAAGGCAACCATCTTTCCTACGCCGCCTGCGTAGTTTACAAATTGATTCCAAAGCGATTACGCTGACGGCGTGAGAGAAGAGGTCAGTAGGTGGCGCTACGCTACTGGCGTTATGGCAGTTACGCCAGTGGCGTATCATAGCAGCCTGGGAGGCCCCTGTTGGCCGGGGGCGGGGTTGGTGAATAGGGAAGTGGCGCAAGTCCGGGGATCGCTCCGCTGAATCCGCCCGCGAGTCGCTGCCGTCGCCGCCGCCCCCCGTCCCGGCCCCCCCCCGGGTTCCCTCAGCCCAGCCCGGTCCAACCCGGTTCCCGGGAGGATGAAGTTCGTGTATAAAGAGGAGCATCCGTTCGAGAAGCGCCGCTCTGAGGGCGAGAAGATCCGAAAGAAATACCCGGACCGGGTCCCGGTGAGGACAGTAGCCAGGGCCGAGGGCGCGGGGCGCTGGCGCTGGCGCTGACGCCACAGCTTGGGCTTAAGTCTGGGACCCACAGCGCAGGCATCAGGTTGCCGGTTGTGGCGGCGTTGGGAACGAGCCCCAAACCGCTGTTTCTGGGACCGGAGGTGAAAGGAATGGGGTACCAATAGAGCTGAAAGTGAGGAGATGTAGATTCGAGAGACAGACTTTGGGGTTCGTGTGGGAGGCTGTGGGGCGTTTGACAGTCCGAGCTTCACATAGCGTTTTTGAAATTGAAGCTCTTGTTGGCCCCAATAAGTCATCCTCGTCTGATTAACATAATTATTTTATATGACGCCGTATTCAGGGATCCTGGCTGTTTAGGTGAATTAGTCAATGGGGTCAGAATTCCTATTCAGGGCTGCGCCGCGTGTTAAGAGACAAAGAAAAATGAGTCTGGGGTACGTGTTGGTGCTAGGAATGTTGAGTTCTTGACAGGTGGAATTGTGCGTCTGTGTACCTAATGTCTGCTAATTTTTATCTTCTCTTTAACAGGTGATAGTAGAAAAGGCTCCCAAAGCTCGGATAGGAGACCTGGACAAAAAGAAATACCTGGTGCCTTCTGATCTTACAGGTGGGAACCTGACCCAATACCCAGATTTGTTTCCTGGGGGTGGGAGTGCAGTCTCTGATGGAGGAGACTCCACATAGCAGTGTTCTTTTGAGGGTATTTGTGATCTCTGACTTTATCAGGCCTTGTATCTTTGGCAGTTGGTCAGTTTTACTTCTTAATCCGGAAGCGAATTCATCTCAGAGCAGAGGATGCCTTGTTTTTCTTCGTCAACAACGTCATTCCACCCACCAGTGCCACGATGGGTCAGCTGTACCAGGTATGGTGCCTGGGAAGTAGAGGAGGCTTTGGGGAGGAGTTGGAAGCAGTTGAGAGGCAGAAAGTTTGAAGTCAGCAGTTCTTGGACCAGCTGGCTTACTTAGCTCTCAGTTTTATACTCACCCTTAAGATTTCTGCATCGTCCTGGGTTAGGGATTTGGACAGGGCAGTGAGCCAGAGTAACTGCTGTGGTCCAGACTCCCGTCTAGCCACTCCGTGTTCCACAGCAGTAGAGAATAGTTTGAGATCTTATTGTCCAAGACTGTGGATAGGATAATACTGCCCAGCACTTACAATCTGGAGCAAATGAGAGGGAGAGTCAATGTACTGGTGTTTGGGGTCTTCAAAAAGAATGATTTTGGAAGAATATGTCCCAGTGGTGGGTGGTTCAAATAACTAAAGCTCAGATGCCTGAACGCTGTTATTTTCTACCTTCACCCCAGGAACACCATGAAGAAGACTTCTTTCTATACATTGCCTACAGTGATGAAAGTGTCTACGGTCTGTGAAGCTGCTGCCGCTAAGATGGGGGGTCCCATTCTACAAAGAGAGAGGTGGCCCCCCTTCCTTGACCTACTCCTCCTTGAGGTTAAAACACCACCTCCCTTCTTCAGGACCTGCAATTCCTAATGTTTGAGACTCTCCTCCAGACCCTCTTAACACAAGGGTTAATGGGGGAGATGGCCTCTAATACCTCTCCTTTCTTTCTTCCCCTTTCTTTACCACTTTTCCCATTCTGCTTTAGACTTCTTGATTGTCAATCTCTGTCACATCTGGTGATTGTTTTGGTTTCTGTTCCCTTTCTAACTGCCCAAGGGGCTCAGAGCCCCAACAATCCTTTCTTTTCACTACCTTCTTTTTGGGGGGTAGATGGAAGGGACTGAAATTGTGGGGGAAGGTAGGAGGCACATCAATAAAGAGGAAACCACCAAGCTGAACTGGATTTTTTCTTTGTGTTGTTCCCCTCCCCCTTTTGTTCTCCTCTTCACGTGGTGGGGAAAGAGTAGTTTAGAGGGAATAGTATATTTTGGTTTGTTCTGCTTACGTTGAGCTTCTCCTTGTGTATATAAAGAGTGTGCTTTTGTTGTGATGGATGGAATACTGAATATCATTTCATGAAAGTTCAGTTTTACATACGTGTATATGGATTAGGTCCTGAGGTTATTAAAGTTTTTTACAGTGGGTTCCTCTGGATAAAGTTTGAAAGCACCTGCTTCAGATAAAACATCCAAGTGTGTTGTAACTTTTTGGATGAAGGAAGAGATTTTCGAGTATGGGAACTAGTGAAAGGACTCCGTCCTCAGATGTATGTCGCTTTGCCAGACTCTTTGCCGGCGTGAGGGATCCACTGGAGTGGAATCCAAGGGAGAGAGACGACTGGGAGGAGGGAGCCATTATCACCAGGAGAACTTCATCTCCCAGCAGCCTACCTCTGTCTGGCCGGAAGTGGGGTGGTCCCCGCGGGGGTATAAAGCTGCAGAATTGAAGCAGTATGGTGGCCGAGAGTTCTAATCCCTTCTTCCCGTTCTTTCTTAGCTCCGCCTAGCCTACATTTCCCAGGAGCCTGCGCGCACTCTTCCGCCCTCCCCTCTGCTCCCAATCTCCCCGCCACTCCCCTGGGGACGAGAGCAGTTTAGTGCGCCTGCGCCAATCCGTGGTTTGCTGGGAATTGAAGTTCCGGATGCTTATCGAGGCCCCTTCTTGCTTACCGCGGACTGACTACAATCCCCTTGATGCATTGCGTGTTAGCGCCCGCGAAGGGAGGGGGAGAGAAGCGGAGGGAGGGTGGAGAGGAGGAGGGAGCAGGCGGCCGGCGGCGCGGGGGGAGGGGGCCCGGTCCGGGAGTGCGGGAGGCTGTGGTAGAGGGAGGTGGCGGCAGCGGCTAGCGGACTCGAGTCACAACCGAACAGAAACAGACACCTCTCTGGAGCGAGGCAGTAGGAATACCGAGCACCGGAGGCGGCACCGGGATCCCCGGCTCAGGGGAGGGGGGCGCCGAACCGGGAGGAGGGTAGGGGGCGATGCTGGAAGCCATGGCGGAGCCCAGTCCCGAAGGTGAGCTCTCGACCGGCACAGGGCGCTGAGCCGGCGGGGGGCGGGCGAGGAATCTATTGGCAAACTTGGAGGTCGAGCCCCGGAGCCCAGCAGGGGAGCGCGGGGAGGGGGTCGGGGGCCTGCCCCTGAAGGTGGGAGAGTGACGAGTTGAGAGACCTTGGAGGAAAGAGGAGTGCGAGACTGGGCCGGGGGTAGTTGGAGATTAGATGCTGTGTGTGTGTAGAGGGGGTGGGGTGGGATGGGGGAGTGGGAGCTGGAAACCAGAGCTTCGAGGGTTAGGGGCCGAAAGGGCCTCCGGCAGGTTGGGGCCCTAGAACTGAGAGGTTAGGGGAATCTGGGAGCCGGAGAGTTGTTGAGGAGAGAGGATGTAGGAGAGGATTGAGTGAGGAGCTCGGTAGTTCGCCGAGGTGGGGGAGTTTGTGGCGGTGGTGCCGGAGCTCCCGGTAGTTGCCGCCGGAGGTAGCCCGGTGATTGTTGGAGGGGTGGGCAGATAGTTGTGGGGAGAAGAGGGGGCCTGGGCATTGTCTGCGGTAGAGGGACTTATGCCTGTGGGTAGCTGTGGGGAGAGGGAGCCGGGGAGCGACGAGAGTAGGGTAGTTTTGGGGGCGGTGGGGCGGGGTGGGGGTTTAAGGCCGGTGAGTTGCGCCGGAGGGGGGGTTTGGTCGGCGAGGGTTAGAGCCTGGGAGTTGCGGGGGGTGAGGGGGGCAACGGCGGCGGCAGCTGGGGTTGCTGGGCAGGCAGAGTAGCTGGGGTGGGGGCTAGAGTTTAGGGGTCCGTAGTCTAGTGACTTGGTGGCGAGTCCGGGGGCGGAGGGGGGGGGCGGCGGCCGAAGAGAGCTCGGAACTGGGCCCGGGGGCCCGGCGGGGAGCCCGAGGAGCTTGAGACGGGGAGGGGCCAAAGCCCCGGATGGGGGCGGAGGGACGCCGAAATTGTGGGGAGCGCGGCATGGGGGGGCAGGTGGGGCCGCGTCCGGGTGAGAGCTCTCTGGTCTGTCCCGGCCGCGAAGTGGCGTTGGATGTGTGAGCCCGTGTGTGTTTGGGGGTGGGGGGGGGGGGTGAGGGGCGCGCCGGGCCTCGTGCTCGAGTAGAAGGGGCCGGAGGGCGGGGAGCGGTTCGGCGTGGTCATCCTGGACCCTGGGGGCCGGCGGGCGGCGTGTGCGGGCGCGGAGGGCCCGGGGCGGTAGAGCTTGGCGGGGTGGGAACTCGGGGCACTGAGCGCGTGTGAAGGACAGGGGCAGGCGGCAGCCCGGGCTCGGTCCAGGGAGCGGTATGGCGGGGTGGGGCGCGGAGAGAACCGAGGAGCTCGGAGTCTAGAGAAACCGTGAGTTGGGGGGGGGCGGGGCGCCAGGCCTCCGGTGGGGGGGGAGGGGAGCGCTATAGCGAGGCCTGAGAGGGCGCCGCGCCCAGGCTCCGCCCCTCGCGGGGCGGAAGGGGGAGCAGGGGCGGGCCCAGCACCGCTGGGGGCCTGCTCGCCTGGCTGAAGGACCTGGGAGTGGAGGGGGTTCACTTGGGACCGCGAAGGTTGAGAGGTGGGGTTTCACACTGACTCTTTCCTAGTGCCTTGACTCAGCTTTTATTGCTTTTACAGATCCACCTCCGACCCTTAAACCAGAGACTCAGGTGAGGGTTTCCCATTCCTTCGCAGCCCAATATTACTTGAGCCTCCGCCGCACGCCGCCGCCCCCCCCCCCCACTTTTCCTGATTCCTCATTCGGGGGACTATGCCTTTGGAGATGCCCCTCTTAAACTCTGTGTGATAGATATTTCCTTCCTTTCAGCCACCAGAGAAACGTCGGAGAACAATTGAGGATTTCAACAAATTTTGCAGTTTTGTTTTGGCCTATGCAGGTTACATTCCCCCTAGCAAGGAGGTAGGGACAGAAGGAGAACTGACTGGAGGGTGGTGTCCTAGGGCTGTAGAGGAGCTCTTGAGCTTATGAAACTTTGTTACTTTATAGACAGTCTCGAAATTACATGTGAAAGACTTAAGGAAATGGAAATTCTGGTGGGAGAACTAGTATCTGGGGTGGGAGTGGGATTAATAGATATGTGATTTGAGTGCAGTGAATGGTTTTGGGGTGTTCTTAATGGAAGGTCCTCTGGGATAAGTGTTAGGAAGCTGGAGATAGTAACAAATGAAGCTGTACAGAAACAGCTGAAGAAATACTGCTCTGGTCTAGGGGATGCAGTGTTGTGAAGGCAGTAGGTGTTGGGGAGATGGTGAGAATTTGAGGGCAGAGGTAACATGAAAGTGTTCAAGAGGAGATGCTGAGGGGAATTGGGATGGTGATAAGTTTTCTGAATACAGTGAGGTTTGGTGGTTTTGGAAAGATATTTTCGTCTGTTAAGTTTGGTATGTAGAGGGGCTGAGATAAGGCTGGGCCCCCTCTGACCCTGTTTTTTTCTGTCCTTTAAGGAAAGTGACTGGCCAGCCTCCGGCTCCAGCTCTCCATTGCGAGGTGAGAGTGCGGCAGATAGCGATGGCTGGGACTCAGCCCCCTCAGATCTCAGAACCATCCAGACCTTTGTTAAGAAAGCAAAGTCATCCAAGAGAAGGGCGGCTCAAGCAGGTCCCACCCAGCCAGGACCCCCAAGGTCCACTTTCCCTCGTCTGCAGGCCCCTGACAGTGCCACTTTGCTGGAGAAGATGAAACTCAAGGACTCTCTCTTTGATCTAGATGGGCCCAAAATGGCATCTCCACTGTCCCCCACGTCCCTGACACATGCCTCCCGGCCCCCTGCTGCTCTCACCCCAGTGCCCCTTTCCCAGGGGGACCTCTCCCAGCCTCCTCGAAAGAAGGACCGAAAGAACCGAAAGTTGGGGCCAGGAGGGGGGACAAGCTTTGGGGTACTTCGGAGGCCCCGCCCAGCCCCTGGGGATGGGGAAAAGAGGTCTCGAATCAAGAAGAGCAAGAAGCGGAAGTTGAAAAAGGCAGAACAGGGGGATAGACTCCCACCTCCTGGGCCTCCCCGGGCACCCCCCAGCGATACAGACTCTGAAGAGGAGGAGGAGGAAGAGGAGGAGGAGGAGGAGGAAGAGATGGCAGCAGTGGTAGGAGGGGAAGCCCCAGCCCCTGTGCTACCAACACCTGAGGCTCCTAGACCCCCTGCCACAGTGCACCCCGAAGGAGCCCCTCCCACTGACGGTGAAAGCAAGGAGGTGGGCAGCACTGAAACAAGCCAAGATGGAGATGCCAGCTCCAGTGAAGGCGAGATGCGGGTCATGGATGAGGACATCATGGTAGAATCAGGTGAGAAGTTTGGGGCTGCCCAGGGGCAGCTGGGTTGATGGGTCTTGGGGTAGTGTGGATCCAAGAACTCAGAACACCAAACATACCTTCTTTTTCCCAGGTGATGATTCATGGGATCTGATCACGTGTTACTGCCGAAAGCCCTTTGCAGGCCGGCCCATGATTGAGTGCAGCCTGTGTGGGACGTGGATCCACCTCTCCTGTGCTAAGATTAAGAAGACCAATGTCCCTGACTTCTTTTACTGCCAGAAATGCAAGGAACTGCGGCCAGAGGCCCGGCGATTAGGGGGGCCTCCGAAATCTGGAGAACCCTGACACATGCCATCTCCAGGCTGGAACTTCAATTGGAAACGTGACTTGGGAACTGAGCTTCAGGGTCAACATGTCCCCTGAAGCTGGGATGTTGTCCCACTTCGAGGCAGAAATTCCCAAGGGAGACTGGTTTGGAAATGAGTGGTTTTCCTGCCCTTTCCTTCCCACCTTGTGGACTTGAACTTGGACCCATTGCAGTTGTGGGTGGGAGGCTCTCTGGGTCCCTAGACACTTGAACTGTCCCTGCCACTGCTCAGTTTCTGGGCCAGGGTTGGAACTGGGATGGAGTGGGACAGTTGTCTATAAAACTCTAGTGTAAATATAGCACTCCCCTCCCTCATCTTTTCTTCTATCTCACTCCCCATTTATTCTACACCGGTTGTATTTTTAATTTTGGGCTTCCCCTTTTGAGCGTGGCAGCTCAGTGGTGGAGTGCCAACCAGAGCTTGGCCGAGGGAGGAAGGAAAACAGAAAGGTGATGATTCCTCACCTCTTGTTTTTAATAATACTGGCCAGCTGTTTGTACAGACAGCCTGCGTGTTGTAAATAAAGCAGAGTGGGCTCTTCTGTGTTTATAGCCCTCACTGACTGTGCTGGGGAGGGAGGCTTTGGAAAAGCGGGCTGGAGGTGGGGTTGAAACCCACCTCTCTACTAAAAATGACCTGACTGCGCCTTTCCCACCAACCCTATGACCTCAATTGGTTTTGCCCCGCCTCGTCCCCAGTCAAGGACCCCCCCCCCCCCAATTCCCACCCTCACTTCCCACACGAGCGCTACAACGCATGAAAGTTGCTTGGAGCTCCTTGCCAGAGCGGATAAAGCGGGCAGGCATTGCTTGTTTGCCCCCTGAGGGCAGAGCCCAGGCTGGTCAGGGTAGTCGGAGGACGCGGGTGGGGACACACATGGAGGCGGAGCCCCAGAAGGTTGGGAGACCGTTGCTGAAAGCAGCAATCATGTGGCGGGGGTACGATGCGGAGTCGAGAGGTCACGTGACCACGAGAGGATCACGTGCTGGGGGCGTTTCGGAGAGGGGGTGGGTCGGTTCTGGTCACGTGACGTGGGGAGAGGTGGGCGGGGCGCTGGAGGGCACTCGCCAAGGCGGCGGCGGCGGCGGCGGAGCCCGCGGCTTTGGTAGCACTCCACGGCCCGCCCCCCTCTCGCCGCCGCCACCCTGCTGACTCCCGCCTTCCTCCCTTTCGCACCTCTCTGGCGCTTTGTCGGTGCTGGTGCTTGTGCGTCGGTTCGCGGGAGTGCGCAGGCGCGGCGGGGGCGAACAGCCCCTTTGGGTGGGCGGCGGAGCCCGGGAGCGCGCGGGCGAGACCATGGCGGGCAGCGGCGCGGGGGGCGGTGGTGTTGGGGAGACGAAGGTGATTTACCACCTGGATGAAGAAGAGACTCCCTACCTGGTGAAGATCCCCGTCCCCGCCGAGCGCATCACCCTCGGCGATTTCAAGAGCGTCTTGCAGCGGCCCGCGGGCGCCAAGTACTTTTTCAAGTCTATGGATCAGGATTTCGGGTGAGCGCGAGGCCTAGACCAGGATAGATGGGGACTGTGCTTTTGTGAAGTGGGTGATATGAGGGTCACCGGGCTACTTTGGGACATGCTGGGATTTTCTGGGCACTAGTGGAGAGGATTTGATTGTGCTGGTGTAGATTGGTTATCCTAGGACGGACAACGTTATGCCTGGATAGATTGAGGCGCATGGAGCTGTGGGAGGACAGACTGGGCAATGCTAAACCAGATTAGAGAAGATTAGGCTATACTGTGGTAGACTGGGGCACGCTGGTTTTATTTTCGGGTGTTCTGGGCAGCGATGAGGTAGGTTAGTGTACCCTCTGGTAACTACATTGTGAGCAGTCCTGTGCCACACAGGTTGTGGAGGGATATTGGGAAACCTGCTGATGTCAACTGGGCTATACTGGGTCGATTTGGGATGTTCTCTTTGATACTAAGGCAGACAGGATTGTTTGGGGGATATTCTAGTTTGTACTGAGGCAGTGGGCTGCCATTATGGTCTGCACTGGGTTCTGTTGATCTTCATTTCTTTGGGGGCCTCGTTTTTTTTGGGATAGTCAATATAGGGGTACACAGGGCTGACCATGTCTCTGTTAGTACAGACAGCTGTATTGGGATATTCTAGTCTATATTGGTGTAGACAGCTGCGTGTGGGGACATTCTAGTCTATACTGGAATAGTTTTGGGCTATCCTGGATAATTTGGGATAGTCTGGAACCTTAAATAATTCAGGGTAGGCCTTTGTGTTTTATACCTTTAGGACTGTACTTTTTGTCCTCCGTCTCATCTCTTGAAGGGAGGCTGGCTTAGGCTGGGATAGCCTGGATTCTAGGAAAGCTGAACAGACTGGACTTTACCTAGAAAGACTTGGACGCTGGGATGGTGGTACTGTCTAGGGAGTTACCTAGTATTGAAATTCTAGGTTCTTGTGTTTGTCAGCACTATATAACCTGGGGCATTTAACTTTGTTCATTGGTTTCATCTGTGAAACAGTTAACCAGAGTAAAATGCTTAGCACAAGTGCCTGGTATGTTCTTGATGAATGGTCATTGTCTTTATTAGCATGGAGTCTTACTTCTTCAACTAGGCTACAACAATACAGGATAAAATCACTTGGCAGGCTGGACTAAGTTGAGATTGGATTATGTTGTGAAGAATACAGCTGTTACACTGAGACAGATTGGTAGTGACTGGGCTGTGTCGTCACATTAATAATAGATGGGATTGAGTTGACATATATCCAGGGTCCTATAATCATATTAGGCTAAAGGGTTAATTAGACAGGAGGTCCTAATTTTGGGGGTGAATGTGTGTGAGAGTGTTCAGGGAAGAATGTCTTATAGTCAGTATGTTTATTAGTTTGTGTGTGAATGTTGTGAAGTCGCTCAGTCGTGTCCGACTCTTTGCGACCCCATGGACTGTAGCCTGCCAGGCTCCTCTATCCATGGGATTTTCCAGGCAAGAATACAGGAGTGGGTTGCCATTTCCTTCTCCAAAGGATCTTCCCCACCCAGCCAACAGGTATTTGTTAGTGCTTAGGCAGCATCAGGTACTTTTCTGTGTGGTCAGGGACTTGGTGTTGAACAAAATTGGCACTGATGATTTCATGTGGTGGTTGAAAAGAAGGAGCAAGTTCGGTCCATTGAAAGAACCCATGGGTGAGATCGCCCTCAGGGCTGGGCTTTGGGGTGTGTCAGGAGGAGCAAATTACTTAATGCAGAGTTTGTGCCACGTGAGGCTCAGAGGAACGGGGATCTGGGCTTCAGCACTCCTTAGGAGCTCAGTTTACTGAGTACCATTCTTTGATCTAATGGGTGTTTTTACTAGATGTGACAGTACATTTGAACATCCATCTGGAAGTGAGTTAGCGAAAACTAAGGAAAGCATAAGATTAGAGACATAGACAAGGACCACAAAGCCTTTGTGGGGCAATTGTGTGTGGAATGGGCTGGAAGTTGGAGGCAGGCTGCCCGTGAGGCTTCTAAGGTTAGATATTTGGGGCAGCTAGGGCAGCCTTAGGGGAAGGCCTTTGAAATTGGGCTGAGAGGTTTGAATCAGACTCTTGGAAAGCTCTGAATCAACACTGAGCCCAAGGATGAACTGGGGAGAGAAGGAGAAATAAGGGAATTCAGTTTGGTGATTTCTTGGGTGAAGTGTCTCAATGTCAGAGAAGAGGATTTGCCGTGGTGGGAGGAAATCAACATCCCTGAGCTGGATGAAGATTGGGAGAAACTTCAAATGCAGGTGGGAGTGGGGAAAGCTGCTCCAGTTTCACTGACCTTTATCTTATTTCTCTGCAGGGTGGTGAAAGAAGAGATTTCAGATGACAATGCCCGCCTTCCCTGCTTCAACGGAAGGGTAGTATCCTGGGTAAGCGGCCTGGCTTTAAGGACCAGTCCCTCTGGCACTACCCAGCTCCTCCAAGCCTCAGCCTGTGCCCACCTGTCTCAGCTGCTGGAGTCTCTGACTGTTAGCTTCCTTCCTGTTTGTTTCTTTGTGTTTGGCCGTGCACTATGTGGCTCTCGCAGCTGGGGATTGAACCTGGCCTTTAGAGTGAAAGCGCCAAGTCCTAACCACTGGACCACTGGGAAGTTTTTGTCCTCCTTAGCTGTTTGGAGAGCCAGCCAGTTGGAGCCTCTCAGCTGTCTCTTTCTGGAGCCTCTGACACTTGCTGCTGCTCTTTTTCTGTGTGCTTTTCTCCAGGTTCTCTCAGGCACCATTGCCTTTTCTAGTTCTTTCTCATACTCCCACCTCATAGGCCTTCACTTCCCCATTGAGCTGTGTTGGTTTTTTTTTTTTTTAAATCACTTGTACCCTCCTAGCTAGTGTCATCAGATAACCCCCAACCTGAGATGGCGCCCCCAGCCCACGAGCCTCGGACAGACCTGGTGCCTCCACCCCCACCTCTGCCCCCTCTGCCACCAGAGAGGACCAGTGGCATTGGGGACTCCAGGCCTCCATCTTTCCAGTGAGTCCTTGGGATTCTTGCATCCAGGGGAGGGACATAAGGAGGAAATCCAAGCCCCATGGGAGGGGAAGCCGAGGGTTTGGGGGCCTGTCCCACTGATGTGGGTCGGGAACCCTCTCTGCCCATCTAGCCCCAATGTGTCCAGCAGCCGGGAAAACCTGGAGCCTGAGACAGAAACAGAGTCAGTGGTGTCTCTGAGGCGGGAGCGGCCTCGCAGGCGAGACAGCAGTGAGCATGGCGGTGAGGGGGACCGGGCCTGGAGGCCAGCTAGAGCGGGAGCTGGGGAGGGGTTGGCTCCCACCGAACAGAAGCATCTGAGCCCAGATGCAGTGAGGAGCCTGATTCCTGAGGTGCCTCTTCGTCCTCAGCGGGGGGCCACAGACCCAGCGGCCCCTCCAGGCTGGAGCGCCACCTGGCGGGGTATGAGAGCTCCTCCACCCTCATGACCAGTGAGCTGGAGAGCACCAGCCTGGGGGACTCGGACGAGGATGACACCATGAGCAGGTGAGGCTCCTCGGACCTCCCCAGGGCACTAGCCCCGCTTCCCATCCTTTCCTTTGGCCCCACGACCACTGCCTGACCTCCCAGCAGGTTCAGCAGCTCCACGGAGCAGAGCAGCGCCTCCCGCCTCCTCAAGCGCCACCGGCGGCGGAGGAAACAGCGGCCACCCCGCCTGGAGAGGGTGAGGGGCTTCTTGTGGGTCAGCTGGACCTCCCTTGGGGAAGTTGGGGGTTTGGGCCTTGGCCTAGACGGTCCGAGGCCTGGGAACCCCAGGGCTTGTCCTGGGGTGTTAGAGCTAGTCCCGCTCCTCCCTCTTTGCCCACCACAGGCCTCGTCCTTCAGCAGCGTCACCGATTCCACTATGTCTCTCAACATCATCACAGTCACGCTCAACATGGGTATGGAGGGGCCGGGAGGATCTGGTCTCCCGGGTCCCTGGGGGGCATGCAGCTGGCGCTTCCCATCATCACCTGGCTTCCCTCCACAGAAAAGTACAACTTCCTAGGCATCTCTATTGTGGGCCAGAGCAATGAGAGGGGAGACGGTGGCATCTACATTGGCTCCATCATGAAGGGTGGGGCTGTGGCGGCCGATGGGCGCATCGAACCCGGGGACATGCTTTTGCAGGTGAGCTGGAGCAGGGCCACTCACTGACTTGGCTGGCGCTCTGAGCTCCTCCCTCTCACCTTTGACCTACTGTCCCTCCTGCCAGGTGAACGACATGAACTTTGAGAACATGAGCAACGATGATGCGGTGCGGGTGCTGAGGGACATCGTGCACAAGCCAGGGTGAGCCTGTGAGCTGGTCCAAGTCCTCAGTCCTCTTTCTTTGCCTTTTCACGGGTTTTTTTTTTTTTGTCATAATACAGAGTGGGGAAACATAACATAGAGCTGGTCAAAAAATTGATAAAACACAAATGCGTAATGTAATGAGTCTGGGGTGAACGGGTGGCCATATCCCCACCACTTATGTCATGACCTAGAAGTTTGCTGACCCACAAAGGGTCCCCTCAGTGTCCCTTCCTGCTCCCTCCCATCTCATTCTCCCAGAAGTAACCAGTCTCTTGATTCTTTGGTCATCACCACAATAGTTTCCTTGGCTTTCATTTGACTGGCCATGCACATGTCTTTGAACAACACACTTTAGTTTTACCTGTTTTTGGACTTTCTCTGAGTGGGATCGTGCAGTGTGTTCTCTCTTAAATTACTCAGCAGTATGTTTTTAAGAGTGACCTGTGTTAGTCACCCTTATTGTGGAGCCTTTTACTGTCACTTTGTCAGGCCCAGTCTTGCCTGTGGTCTTTCCTCGTTCCCTCTTTCTGTCCTTCACCCATTCTCATTCCAGGCTCTCCCCTCTCCTCAGGCCTCTGCCCTTACCCCCACTTGACTGACCTTCTCTTCCCCACAGCCCCATCGTGCTGACAGTGGCCAAATGCTGGGATCCCTCTCCCCAGGCCTACTTCACTCTCCCCCGAAGTGAGTGATGTTCAGGGATCCTACAGCTAGAGGACATGGCAGGAGTGGGTACTCTTGGCTTCCACGCTACAGGGAGTGGAGCGATAGCGGGGCACGACGGAGCTGGAACAGCAGTCTGAATCGGGGAGGGACGGGGGTGGCTCTTTGTGGTTGAGAGGTGACCATCCTGGTGGCCTTCGCTGTTGCAGATGAGCCCATCCAGCCGATTGACCCTGCTGCCTGGGTCTCACACTCTGCTGCGCTGACTGGCACCTTCCCAGCTTATCCAGGCTCCTCGTCCATGAGTACCATCACCTCTGGGTCCTCTCTTCCTGATGGTGAGCCTCCCGGCCCATCTCATCCTTGCTCCCTGGAAGGCCACCTGGTATGATGTGACTCCACTGGTCCGTGGGCCTTGGTCCTAACTCTTGACTCCCTGATTGTCCTCCCATCAGGCTGTGAGGGTCGGGGCCTCTCCATCCACACAGACATGGCGTCTGTGACCAAGGCCATGGCCGCTCCAGAATCAGGACTGGAAGTTCGGGACCGCATGTGGCTCAAGATTACCATCCCTAACGCCTTCCTGGGTATGGCTGGGCTCTGGGCAGGTGGTGTGTGGGGAGGAAGAGGAGGAGACCAAAACTGGGAATGGGGGTTAGAAGCTAGAGAGAACTTGAGGCCTTTGTCTGTCTTCGGCAATCCAGGCTCGGACGTGGTGGACTGGCTGTACCATCACGTGGAGGGCTTTCCTGAGCGGCGGGAGGCCCGGAAGTACGCCAGTGGGCTGCTCAAGGCGGGCCTCATCCGGCACACTGTGAACAAGATCACCTTCTCTGAGCAGTGCTATTACGTCTTCGGAGACCTCAGTGGTGGCTGTGAGAGCTGTGAGTGCCCCTGTCCCAGCCCAGGTAGAGCGGCCCTGGTGGCCTTGTCCTGCGTCTCCAGCCCCAGGCCTAGCCCAGAAACCAGCCGGGGCTGCTGTGGACGCTGAGCAGCATGCGTCCTTCACTGGTCCCTGCACTGGCTGATGATGGGCATGGGGGTTGGCGTCCACCCCTGTTGTGCTGGATGAGCTGTGTGCAGGTTCAGGGCTGTGTGCTGGGGAGGGGAGACGAGGGACTAAGGGTGGCCCTGGCTGCATGCCCCTGGCCCTGACGGCTGGGGCAGGTGGGACATTCCCTATCAGAGGCCCCTCCTGTTAACCTCTGCCACGGATGGTTGTGGGGTTTCTCATTCGATGTCTTGGCATCCTGGCTTCTCAGTGCAGTGACCCTTGATCTCTTCTCTGCCTTCCAGACCTAGTCAACCTGTCTCTTAATGACAATGATGGCTCCAGTGGTGCTTCGGACCAGGACACTTTGGCTCCTCTGCCTGGGGCCACCCCCTGGCCCCTGCTGCCCACTTTCTCATACCAGTACCCAGCCCCTCACCCATACAGTCCTCAGCCACCACCCTACCACGAGCTCTCGTCCTACACCTATGGCGGAGGCAGTGCCAGCAGCCAGCACAGCGAGGGTAAGTTGCCGACAGATCCCCACATAGCTGGGTCTGGATGTGGGGGCCAAGGCGAAGCCAGGGAGCAGAGGCTGGAGCAGGGACTGGGCAGGCCAAAGGACCTGGGCTGTGGCTCAGTCGCTCCTATCCTCTCTCTCCCCACAGGGAGCCGGAGCAGTGGGTCGACGCGAAGCGATGGGGGGGCGGGGCGCACTGGGAGGCCTGAGGATCGGGCCCCTGAGTCCAAGTCCGGCAGTGGCAGTGAGTCTGAGCCCTCCAGCCGGGGCGGCAGCCTTCGGCGGGGTGGGGAACCTGGTGGGACTGGTGATGGGGGCCCTCCCCCATCCAGGGGCTCATCAGGGGGTGCTCCCAATCTCCGAGCCCACCCGGGGCTGCATCCCTATGGCCCACCTCCTGGTATGGCCCTCCCTTATAACCCCATGATGGTGGTCATGATGCCGCCGCCCCCACCCCCTGTCCCTCCAGCAGTGCAGCCTCCAGGGGCCCCTCCAGTCCGAGACCTGGGCTCTGTGCCCCCAGAGTTGACCGCCAGCCGCCAAAGCTTCCACATGGCCATGGGCAACCCCAGTGAGTTCTTTGTGGATGTCATGTAGAGCCCGTGGTGGGGCCACATTGGCTCGGCTCTCAATGTTTGGTGCGCCTGTCCTGTGATTGGATGTCTTGTCAATCATGTGTTCATCACTCCTCTGGTGCTTGGACTCAGCCTGTCCTGTGGGCTGCTGTCTGCTGTGAGATTGATTGTTGCCACTGTGACTTTCCAGCAGTGCCTGGTTCCTCCCCCTTTCTTTGGGGTTCAACAAGGGACCTTTGGTTATTTTTAGCTTTATTGTTTTTTATAAGCCTTTTGGGGGGTTAAAATAGATTTTCTTACATTTTGGGGGGTTATTTTTTTAGTAGATAATTTTTCTTTTATATGAAGAATCCTTGTCTCCTGGGCCCCTCCTTCTAACCCCTAAATGTGACCTCCTTATCCATTCACCCAGTTAGCTCCGTGCTGAGCAGGGTGGGAGGGTGGTCAGTGGTACCCTGGGATGTGGAAGGGGGTTGGTTCCCCTAGACAGCCGTCAAAGGAAGCTGGGGTAGTTGGTATTGGGGGCCATGTAGCTGCTTTTGTTACTCTATTTATTTTAGTTACTTGTATAAAACACTAAATAAAGCAATAGGGGCAAACTCCCCACGCCTCTGGCTCCTTTCTTTGGGAGGGAGGCAGGCAGCAAGGGAAAGGACAGAGATACAGTTGCAGAGTGTTACTTGTTAGAAAGTTTCTTTGTGAGGCAGTAAGTGCTCCCTCAGAGCAGGCACAGTTATGGGCCGGGGCCCCCTTCAAGGCAGAACCAGGATGGGCAGGAAAGGGGTCTGGGCTTTGGCTTGAGAAAAGGCACATTTTGGGCCAGGCTCTAATTGAGAGTACTCAGAAACCAAGGGGGTTGCTGGTGACCACGCCACCCCGCTCCACCAGGGCCTTGGAGATGCTTTTGAAGTTACGGAAGAGCTCCTGCTGCTGGGGGTCAGACTGCAGAGCAGTCATGTTCTCCCGGATCCGGGCTGCAGCCTGGGGAGGGAGGGGGAAGGAGGGGGATCAGACCTGTCCCTTGATCCCCTCCAGCCCCCTGTACTTAGTAAGTAACTCTGGATCTCACCTCGATACACCAGCTGTCACAGAGCATTTTCTCATGCTGGGCTGTGGGGTGGCCTTCAGTCAGGGATCTTGAGGCCCTAGTGGGAAGCAGGAGGAAAACACATCTGGGCTGTGACCCTGGCCCAGGGACCGCCCCCCACCCACCACTGCGACTCAGGCCTCCCCCACTGCCTCCTCACCTGGACAGAACCACCACCATGGCATAGAGGTCAATGGCACTGTCTGCCAGACGCTGCAGCAGAAACTGTTCATCTGCCAGGTAGATGGGTTGAAGGGGGTGGTGGGTTAAGGAGAGGGAGAGGGAAAATGGGGGTGGGAACGTGGTCATGCTCACTCACTGATGATATCCTTCTTGTGCTTTATCAGCTTGGCCTCCACCACGGTGGCAAACTGCTCCAGAGCCTGCACTGCCTGAGGAGATGGGATGGTGCCCGGGGTGAGATGAAGCCCGGTCCTGGACCCTCAGCTTCTGATGCAGGCTGCCCCTCCACCTTGCCTGCCTACGTACCAGCTCACCGCTCCGACTCAGTTCCTGGTGGATGATGCCGCTGAGACTCAGGCCACTGCCCAGCCCTGCCCGCCTTAAGAGGAAGCCAGAGGGTGATTGGTTAGTTGCCATGCACCGCCCCGCCCCACCATGCCCTGGTCTCTAAGCTTACCGCCTCAGCTGTTTGCCTGCCTCTCCTAGCAGGAGGCCAGCATTCCCAAAAGGGTTCTTTAGAGCATTGCCAAGCCCAGAGAGTTCCTTCCCTTTGTCCTGTGGGGGAGGAGGGCCCCATAGTCAGGATTCACTATCCTCCCCACCAACTCCCCTATTCTCCTCGCTCTTACCATGCAGCCCTGCAGAGCCACAAACAGCCGGAGAATGTCATTTGTCCCCTCAAAGATCCGGAAGATGCGAAGATCTCGGAGCACACGCTCTACTCCAGGCTCCTACCGCAGGGGAAGACAGATCACATGTCCCCGCTGAGATGCGTCTGCCTCCTCCTGGCCCTGCAGCCACCCCGGCAGAGAAGCGGCTGTACCTTCATGAAGCCCATGCCCCCCATGATTTGGATGCACTCATCTGTCACCTTCCAGGCTGCCTCCTAAGAACAGAAACACCCGAGATTGCTTTTGGAGCCAAGTTCCCAAACGTGGCTCTCCCTCCCCACAGGCCTGGGACCTCACCGAAGCAAAGATTTTGCTGATGGCGGCCTCTATCTGGAAGTCCATGGATCCTTGGTCCATGTTGCCACTCACCATGTACGCCATGGACTGAGGTTGGGAATAGGAAGGGAAATGGAAAAAGGCTGCATCAGACTTGACCTGGTCACCCAGATCTTACAAGACCAGGTCTGCCTTGGCCTTTGGCCCTTCCCTTTACCTTCCAATGCCATGGGTTAGGCACGTCCAAGTATTTGATCCCCTGGTCAGTTCATCAGGGGCTTGCAGGCATTTGACTTCTTGGAAGGGGTGAGGAGGTGAGGATGGGGTGGGATAGACTACACTTCAGGGACCTCTGGAAGCACCTCGGTGGAACAGCATGGCTCTCCCCATCCTGCAGAAGCTGAGCTGGCTATGCCTCCCCGCATCCCCTAGGGCATTGGTGTAAAGCTGGAGACCCACTGCCCCAGGTGCTGCTGGGAGTTATAGTCTGACCCATCTGGGAAGAAGGGCTCTGGGGACAAGGGGTGGCACTCACCTCAGTCACATACTGCAGCATAGCCATCCGGGCCAGCTTCTCCTGGATCAGCCCAAAGTTGTGAATTTTCTCCCCAAACTGGGTACGATTAGCAGCATGATTCACCTGGAAGAGGACACGTGTCCCACTATGGTTCTCTAGTCTCCTCTTTCTGGGAGAGGGGCTGGGCTGCGCTGGGAGGGATGGGCTTTGGCCACAGTCAAGAGTCAGACCAGGATGGATGGAGACCTAAGCGATCTGCTGGTGGGGAGGGGTCTCTTGTGGAGGGAGGGCCTGCAAGGGACAGGGACACATGGAAAGGGAGACAGTATGACTTAGGCTTAGATTCAGGCGGCCTGGGACAGGCAGGGTACTTACTGCCTTAGCAATGATGCCTTTCATGGTGCCTGCCAGGGCTGCAGCCATGCCAAACCTTCCGTTGTTGAGAATATGCATGGCGACCTTGAAGCCGCTCCCTACCTCCCCCAGTACGTTCTCTGCTGGCACCCGTACTCCGTCAAAGTACACCTCTGCTGTGTTTGAGGCTTTGATGCCCATCTTCTTCTCAGGGGGCCCACTGTGACAGGATGGAGAAATTGCCATTGGGGTGGGGGGAGATTAGTCCCTCATTCCTTATGAGCCAGACCCAAAGAGGTGCAGGCGGCATTCCCCGGCAGACCCAGAGGGCTGAGGAGGCCTGGCTTTATCCTGCTGCTGTGCTCTGGGCTCAATGGTTGGTGGAGCCAAACTTGAGATCAGTTTCCTTCACACTGGGCCTAGAGGGAACATGCTGTCCAGATGCTCTGGCTTTTGCACACATCCCCAGGGTGACCCGTGGCAGCCATCTGCCCTGGAACTCAGTACCACCAGCTCCCTGACTCCCCCTTTCCACTCCAGCCCACTCACTGGGTGACGCCGCCAAAGCTCCTCTCCACGACAAAAGCTGTGATCTTCTCTTTCACAGCGCCTGTGGCTGTGTCTGTAACTGGTGTCTTGGCGAAGACCGTGAAGATGTCTGCCAGGCCCCCATTACTGTGGAAAAGCGAGAGGTGGTCAGGGCACGGAGGATGGAGTGGTGGGGCCTGGATTGGGCAGAGGGTGGACAGGAGGGAGAAGTGGAAGAGTGCCTGATCCAAATCTTGCTTCCGTTGAGGGTATAGTATTTTCCACAGGGGCTGGGCACAGCTGAGGATCGGATGGACGCTGCATCTGATCCACTGGAGGGCTCGGTTAGACAGAAAGCAGCTATAGTCTCCCCTGTTGGAGAGAGTGCTCCTTTACCCTGGGTTCCGACGGGCACGGAAGGCACTTTGGTGCCACCACCCATGGAGCACCACCCATGTCCACCCCTGGAGCACAACCATCCCCCTTTAAGGCCTCTGGCGATATTCAGTGACTTCTGAATGTCCTTCCCAGAATCTCACCGCCCCCCCCCCCCCCCCAACCTAGCTAACACACCCAGCTGGTGATCTAAGTACGGCTGGCCTAATCCACCAAGCCCCAATCTCTGGCTCTCCTAGGGCTGCCTCACCAGATGCCAGTTTGGGGAGGTATTTTTCTTTCTGGGCCTTTGTGCCGAAGAGCAGGATGCCTTTGAAACCGATGCTCTGATGGGCCCCCAGGACGATGCCCACGCCAAGGTCGTACATGCCCACGATCTCCACCAATCGAGCATACTGGAGGGGAAACAGGCATTGGGGACTGTAATTGGCTAAATGGGGACTCGCCCTTAACAGGGAAGCATGGGCAGCAGGAAAGAGCCCAACTTGGGTGTCCCTGCAAAGTGAGTAGACAGCAAGTGGGCCAATGACAGAGGACACTGGCGGGTCTGTTCTAGGTCTTGGTGGGAGGCAAGTACCCTACCACATCCTCAGGCAATCCCTACATTCGAGATCCTTTAGGACTTGGGAATGTGGGTGAGGTCCACGGCCCTATCCCACAGGCCCCCAGGGCAGCTCATGGCAGAGACCTTTGCCCCAGGGGCAAGAAAGTAGAAGACTGGAACGCAGGAGGTGACTGTGGGGACTCCCTCACCTGGGTGTTGGAGAGGCCCACGCCACCCAGTTCATTGGGTACTTGAAGACCAAAGGCCCCCAATTCCTTGAGACCTTGCATGGTGGTCTCCTCCACTCTTTCCAGCATGTCATTCTTGGCAGCATCGTTCACCTCCTGGGGAAGGCACAGGATGTCACCTCCAGGTTCCTTTTAATAAGCCTCCTTAACCTCTCTCCATCAGGAACCACACCCTCTATTCCTCTGGCTGGCATTGCTCACCTCAAAGAATCTGGTCACAGGCCCCACCAGCTCTTTGAGAAACTGTGTCTGGTCCTCGTTGAGCACTGCGGTGGTTGGAGTGGCAAGAAGGCAGGGCAGGTCAGGCCAGGCGGTCAGGGGAAGCTGCCTGTCCCCGCCCGGCTCTGCCTACTCATTTCCTTACCAGACGGGTATGGAAACACCTGATCGGTGGTGAGCTGGCCCTTGAACATCCCCACAGCAAAGGACTTAGATACCTGCGCAGGGAGAAGGGAGGGGGTATCAGGGAAGAGTGTCGGGTAGGTCTGCCCCTGGCTTAGATCCTCCACAGCTCGGAGCCACCTACCGACTTGGCCCATTTTTCCCTGGTCGAAGACTCAGAAGGCTGGGAATCAGACTGGTCCACAGCCGCCTGGGGAAAGGGATTCCGAAGTGCCAAAAACAGCAAAGCGTAAGAGGGGAGGGTGCATCTGACACCTTTCCCCTAGTTTCATCCTGGTTTGCCCTTTCCCCTACTTTGGGCGCCAGGCGACTGGCAGGTGACCAGGAGGGACCAAGAGGGAGACCCCTGCCGGCAGCGGAGAGGTGGGAGCCGAAGCGGACTCCGGCTCTCACACCCCTTAAAGGTCGCCGTCACTTACCTGGGCGACCCCACTCGCATAGGGTCGCCGGGCAGGGCCGGGCCGGGGCTGCCCCAGGAGCGCACTGGGCCACGAGCTGTGGGGAGTAGGGGTTCAGTCCTGGCCCAGTGCCCGGGCTTCCTGACCCCCTCTCCCCTGTCACACACACACCTTCCGCTCCGCAGCCTCAGCAGCTGCCGCCCCACGCTCGGAGCCATTCTCGCTGCCCGCATCTCTGAACTGCTTCGGTCGCTGATGCCCTAAAAGCTGACCTAGAGCTATCTCGGGTCTGCCAAAGTCTAGTTCCCCCGCCCTGACTCATCCTCCACAATGCACCGGGTCACGGCGGGCGGGGCTTCGGGCCACCGGAGCATGCTGGGAGTTGTAGTTCCGGAGTGCCACATAGCCCCTGCAATCTGGTTGACCTAGGGTCATCTCCAAACGACTGTTGTCTTCCCCCAAACAGCTTCATCCGAACTAGATGAACTAGTTTGTACGAACTAGAGTGTAGCCAGCAGCAAGGGTGATGAGATAGGCTAAGACGGAAGAGGGAGAAACTTAGGCATCTGCCTCCAGAGGGGTGGAGGGTAGACTGAAGGGAGGACTTCCCAGCTGGAGTTAGAAGGGAGAGATGGAAAGAGAGAAGTGTAAAAAAGATACCAGAGGCAGAGGCAAGGAAAGAGGACTCTGAGGTCCCGCTCAAATCCGTCTCCGCCAACACAAAAGGGAGGGAAATAAAGAAGTGGGTGACTCCAGGTGGGTGTGAATTGCCCAGGCATATTATCTTGAGACCTAGAAGTTGTCACTAACTCTGGAAACACCTAAATTTTCACAGAGGACCCCCTAGGTTTGCTGCCTTTCCCTTAGGGTCTCTGACACCTTCCTGAACATCTTTGTCTGTGCTCTCTTGTTCTTCCCTGAGACTATGTCTAGGCCAGACCTCTGGACCTCTGGGCAGATGGATTCTTCCCAAGCCTGAGAGGAACTGTAGGAATTCTCATGTCCTGTCCCCTACACACACGCGCGTACACACACACACACACACACACACACACACACACACACACACGTCTAGCTTTGGGTCAAGAAATCCTAGGTAATATATGACCATCTTATTGCCATTCTCACTGAGGACAAACTCAGGAGGAGACAGTGACAATTTCCTTTCTTTTAGGGCTTCCAAAGCAGGGCACTTTGGGGCTAATCCTCTTTCCTGGCCCTCAGGAAAATGTAGTGGTCATGCCTGGCTTTGGGGAGAGGGGCCAAGGGTGTAAGGAGGAAGGTGGTGGTGGTGGTGGTGATAGTACCTGGGAACCCTGGAAGAATGGGACGGTGGGCAGGTCAGAGACTGCCTGCTTTACCTGACAGCTCACACTGGGTGGGGAGAAGACAGCTCAGCTCCAACCCTGGTGGATTAGAGAGATTAAAGTGAGAGGAAAGAGAGATGTCTGAGGGACCAGGACCAAGAGGTGAAAAACAGGCGTCCTTGTGAAGGGGAGGCCTGGGGGTGGATGGGGCCTGGGATCCAGGGATCCCTCGCCCTAGACCTTTCTAGAGAGTCTGGGGTGAGAAGGCAAAGACTGGGGAAGAGGAGGTGAGTGTGTGTGAGTGTGTTGGTCCCTCTCTCTTCCTTGTCCCAACCCCTCCCCCTCACTTGCATTTCACCAGCTCCCAAGTCGGCCCTCTGGCTCTTGGCACCCCCACTATTGCGATGGGCACCCCCTCTCCTTATGGTGCTACACAGTGACCTCTTCCAAGCCTTGCTGGGTGAGTAGTCCCAGTTTTCTGAGGGGTAGCAGTGACAAGGGCTGGCCTGTGCTTGTGAGGGCGATTACTGAACTTGGGGGCTGGTTGGGAGCCTGGAGATCAGGGGTCAGTGTCCACCAGTGTTGACTGGAGGAGTTCCTCCTTTACCTGATGGGGATGGAGGTGAGGTTATGGCAAGGGTGGCCAGGGAGGCCTGGGGTGGGAGGGGTAACTCAAGCTCTGTTCCTGTGACAGACATCCTGGACTATTATGAGGCTTCCATCTCAGAGAGTCAGGTAAGGGGGTTGGGGGATGGGCTCTGAATTCCTGAGGTTGCAGCAGGGCTGGAGGGGTGAGCAAACTACTGCTAATAAGAGCCTGAGACTTGGGGGTCCCCGGGGACGACCTCCTGAGTCAGGGGCGAGGGGAGTGCTCTCTTTCTAGTCCTGTAGCCCATTTGCTCTCCTGCTTCCCTCTCTTCTTTACCTGCCCCAGTTTCAGGCACTTAAGAGTCCAGGATGCAATCACTTTTCAGGTTTCCTCCTGTAAATCCTGAGGGAGCCCTAGGCCCCCAGGGATTCCCTCCTGCCAGCCCCTCCCTCACTCCCTACTCCCTACCATGGCCTCTCTCCAGTATCTCAACCACCCTGGGTGCTCCCAGTCTTTGAGAGGCTGGGTGGGTTCTTCCTCCTCTGAGAAATAAACTCCCTCCTCACTGCCTTTCTGCTGTCCTCGCTGGTGGCTGCCCGGGACTCCATGTTTGCCTCAGGGCCTCTGGGCTCCTGCCTCCATCTCTTTTCCCATTATCCGGGTTCCTGCCAGCGCGGAAGGAGTTAACTCTACCGAGGCACCCCCCCCATTCTCGCTCTTCGCTCCCTCCCTCCCTCCCCCTGCTTCCTCTCTCCTCCTCTCTCCCCTTCCCTCCTCGGCTCCACGGCTCGCTCGGCCGCTGCCGCCTCCGACCCCCCCACCCTACTCCCCCGCCACGGCCCCTAGCCCCTGGCCGTTAGGCAAGACCTTCCCCTACCCCGGGGCTCCCCGACATCCAGTTCCCCTCCCCCACCTCAGCTCATGCCCCAGCCCCCGAACCCCGGGGCTGCCAGCCCCCGGTGCCCCCGCCCCTCCTGAGAATCGGGGTGTACTCCCTAAGCCCCCTCCCCTCCACTGGGGACCCCCTTTAGGGCCCCCTTCCCCTCCCTCCCACGCTCCCCTACCCTTCCCTTCTCCAACCCCCTCTTTCCCCTCTCACCCCTCCCCCCATCCTGGCCCCCCCTGCAAAAGTGGGGTGCGGAGGGGGGAGGGGTGAGAACCCACGGAGGGGAGGAACGAAACTCCGATGAAGTCAGAGCCCCTTACCCGCCGCCGCGGCCAGGCCCCCCAACATGGACTGTCTCTGTATAGTGACAACCAAGGTAAGCATGATAGGGGGGCCTGTAAACTGGGGGGAGGGTATGAGTTCGTGGGGAGGGGTTAATCAGGCCTAATCTGCAGCTGGGGGCCCTGGAATGAGAGCATCAGCAGATGGGGGGGTCATAATTTAGTTTGGGGTTCACATCTGAGAAAATGCTGGGTTTGGCCACAGGTGCCCCCTGGAGTGATCCCTTTGTACCTGTAGAGAAATGGAAAATTGGGGGCTATCCTGTGCCTTGGGGATCTGGTGGATTTTGAGGTTCACCAATGATGTTGAGGGAGACTTATTTAAGGAGAAGCCTGGCTCACATGGGAGCTCTGCTTGGTGTATGTTAGAAGGTGGACTATGTGAGGGGGGTTGCTCTTCCCTCCTGGGGGACAAGCTGGCTTCCAGTTGCCTTGTCCAATTTCAGGGGCCTCCTGGCTTGAGGGTAGAAGGTTACTGGTTGTGAGTACCTGACTGGTCTGGGGGTGTCAGCTGGCAGGGAAGGAGTGGGCCTTCAGACTATAAAAGAAGCATCTTAGATACATTTGGGGATGCTCTTAATTTGAGGGGACTGTTAATTTCAGGATCAGTCATATGGAATGGGGATAGTTGGGAGTTGTCAGAGAACTGGAACCTGACAGAGAATCACCTGAGGGATTGGACCAGGTGAGGTTAGGATTTGGGGTACTCCCTGGGGAGGTAGATGGTTGCAGCAGCTGAGGTTGCCAGCTTCTTTGGAGGAGGATGAGAGGCTTGGGGAGTGGGGATTTGAGGAGGGGCCAGGTGCGTGGTGAAAAATTTGGGGGTGGCCCAGGCAGGTGTCCACCATCCTCACTTCCTCCCACACTGTATCTACCCTGGTTGGGAAAGAGGGAGACGAGCAGATGGAAGGGAATGTTCCTGTTACCCCTGACCCTTGGTATCAAGGTGGGGGAGGACACCTGGATTTAAAATTACTAGGGTGAAAAGGTGTAGAAGGGCCGGGCGGGCAGCAGTGAAGATCTGTACAAGGGTGTTCCTGTGAGCCTGCCAAGTGCAGAAACTCTGGGATGGGGAACACTGGCAAGCTTCTGGTGGGCTGCAGAATACCTGGGTCTTGACTCTAAGACTATGAGACTGGAAAGCTGGAAGCCTGGTGTGTGGAGGGAGGTTTGGGCGGCTGGCAGGCAGCTGGGGGTTGGGGGGGTGGGACAGGAAGTGGGGGCCGGGGAGGCGGGGTCTGGGTGAGTCACAGGCTGGGGAGGGGGTTATATTTAGTGGGAACTGCAGATTCTCAGGGCAGGGAGCTGAGGACACACATGTTCCCTGCCACAAACTCACATACATGTATACACATGCATCTACACATGCGTTGTTCATGTGTGAGCATGGTTGGAGGAGACTGAAGGCTGAGGACCTTTAGGTCCAAGCCCCTACCCTCTCTCGAGGGCTACTTGCTTTTCCTCCATTCTGTGGTCTTTGGGCTTTCTCCTTTATTGTTTCTTCTTCCCATCTCCTGTAGTTGCAGTGGATTTTTGTGCCTCAGTTTCTCTGGCCTTCTCTTCTTTAAGGTCTGTCTGAGTCTCAGTTCGTCTTGACTCCTGCCCTTAATCTGCTCCTTAGTCTTAGGCTTTCTGGCTATGGTCCCTTATGTGCAGGTGTACACAGAAAGCCAGTTGGAATGTGTGGGTTCTGCTTCCAACACGTGAACGCACATATGAGAGGGAGGGTGAGGGCCTTGTCTGCATTGGTAGCTATTCTGGGAGGGTGGGTTTATTCATCTCCCTTCAAGAATCCTGCTTCTTCGATGGAGCCTAGGGTTGAGCATCCCCGAAGGAAAGAGTCTTGCGCAGAGAGGATCATGCATTTTGGGGTTTTACACAGGCTTGGAGACCCAGGCTTGCCACATTCCTTGGCCGAAAACTTGTCAGTCTCGGGATGGTGGGGACTCCAAGTCCCATAAGGCTTTGAGGCAGGAGAACCGTCACTGTTAGAGGCTTGCTGCCACTGGGGCTGTTGGGAGTTGTGGTTCATCTCTATCCAGGGCAGCGGAGGGTTCGCTTTGGACGAGCCAGCAAGGGCGGGGGGGGGGGGCACATGACACTTGTCCCCCCAGAATGCTGGGTGGGGTAGAGGGTGCTCATGCTTTGCGGTCGTTGAGCTTCCCAGCTACATCTGATTCCTCCATCTTTCATAGCCTATATTTAGATTTCTGCCGCAGTAATTTAAGGAATATATATTGAATGCCTACTATGTGCCAGGCCCTGTGCCTTGCGTTAACTCTGCCTTATAGCTATCACTTAATCTTACTCTCTGCCTCGCTCTCTGCCCGGTGTCTCTGAGCATCTCTCTCTCCCCCACTCCGCCCCCGTCCCTCCCCCTACTCCCCGCGCTGCGCCGCCGTTGCCATGGTAACCGGCGACGACTGAAGTTGCGTGGCGGACTTGAGGGCCGGGCGAGGGTGGCGGAGGGCGGAGCAGAACAAGTGGGGGAGGGAGGAAAGTGGGGAAAGACCGGGGGTATTTGGCTAGAGTCCCGGAGGCGAAGCGGTTAAACCCTCCGGGTGGTCCTTATTGGGCAAAGCTAAAGTGTCGGGGGCGGGGCAGTGTGGCCTACGGCCTCATTCATTGGTCGACTGGGGCGTGGCGGAGGGGCAGTGTGGGCGAGGCCGGGGGAGCGAATGGGCGGGAAGTGGACGCAGGCGTGGTCTCCTGGAGGCAGGTGGGCGGGGCCTGGCTTACTCTACCAAGGGAGGCGGGCAAACAACCTCAGAAAGGGGTGGGGCCTTAGGACTGAGTAAATGAGGGAGGGGCTGACCCGGCAGGGGCGTGGCGTGGTCCCATGTGCAAAGAGGAGACAGGGTTTGAGGGGCTGGTCTAAGAAACTGCGGGCAGCAGGGGTCTTTGGAAAGGAGAATCCGGGGGTTGGGCGATCTGACGTCTCAGTTTTCCTAAGATGGAGGACTGTTAAGATTTCATCGGAGCACAACCTCCTACCTCAACGCTATGTTCCAGGGAGCCGGTTGCTAGGCGACGGCAAAGTCCTTGATCGCTGTGTTGCCAGGCAACGGGGAAACGGAAAATGGAGGGAAAAAGGAAATGGGGGATGGGGAGGGTCTTAATAGCCATAGCGCCCACTGGTGGAGAACTAGGGCCTGTGCATTTTCTTTTCTGTAAGGAATTTCCAGTTCAGCCCCTTCCGCACTGGCTCCCTCTGAGGATTACAAGCATTCTATCCAGATATGAAACTAGGGCCTTGGGGGTCATCGTGGGGGCGTATCTAACAGATTCCAGTCAACGGGAAGAGAGGGGGTTATGGATCAGGTTCTAGGGAAATCCGTCCTCTCTACCATTTGTAGGCATTTTAGAAAAGCCAGAGAAGCAGATTTTAGGAGATTGCTCGCTGGGCTTTAAGAGTTGGAAAAGTGGGAGTTCAATGGGAGAATATTTAGAAGAGGTGCTTTCAGGTTCAGTTGGGACAAAATGGAAGAGATCTGAGGCAGTCATTTTGGGGTGTTCCGGGAGATTTGTGGGTCACTGGAAATTGCAGGCCAGATCTTATTTTGGTAAATAATTTTTGAGACGTCGGTGTGGGGGAGATAGATAAATTTGGGAGTAATCGTCCAACAGAGTTGAAATTCAGAATCATGGCGGGGTGGGGGAAGGAATGTTGAGGTGTAGGGGAGGGCACCCAGAAAAGGGGATAATGTTTACATTTAAAGAGTACAGAAAAGGAATAGAGAAATATCTCTTAATCTAAAAGTCTAGTAATAAACTGAAGAGGTTGCAACTGAATTCAGAAGGTCAACTTTAAGGTCCCTTAAGTATTCCCTGAAATGGGATCTGGTGGTACTGGGGCATGTTAGAAAAGTCATGAGTATCTCATTAGGTTCAAGGATTTGGAGAGGGGACCCCAAGTGAATTTGAGGACTGGTTATTTGGATGTTTACATTAGAACAAGGGTAATAGCTGCACTAATTTCAAGGTCTCTGTTAGCAGACTGGGGGAACAGATGTAATTTTAAAAGGGATGATTTAAAGGGTATATTAATTTAAGGGTACAACAGGATCTGTGGTCTTTCAACTCTTGGCTATCATGTGGGGCTTTACTGATGGTTAGAATAGGAGACGTCTTGACATCTGTGGGATGTCATTAATAATCATTGGAGAGGTTGGGGGGGGATTGTGGGAGCCAGTTTAGATCCCTTGGGGATCTTTCTGAAGTGAGGGAGAAGTGCTGCTTCCTTCCCTGCACCCTGAGAGTCCAGGGAGGTTTTGTAATAGGGGCTTGGTGATTTTAGGGGTGGGAGATTAGATAGCATAAGGGATCCCAGAGAACCAGAGCGATAAATTGGTAATTTTAGGAATGTCTCTATTTGTGAATGAATAGGAGTATACTGTGCACGGTGAAGTTGACAGAGAAACAGCTGGTACCAGGGAAGTTGATGGCTAAGAGGGTCTCCCCGCACCCCTTTCTCTCCCATCGTGACGCTCTCCCGCACTGCGCAGGCGCCGTCACCCCCCCCCCCCCACTCCGGCCGCAGCCTCCAGTTGCCGCGGCCGCCGCAGCCCCCGCCCCTCTGCCCCTCCCCCCCCCCAACCCCGGGACCCTTGCTCTCCCACCCATCCCCTCCCCTCAGTCCCTCTCCCCTTCTCCATGTCGGCTCGGAACAGATTCGCCTCCATGTGTCTCTGCGTGGTACGTGCCGCGGTACGGGCTCCGGCCCCGCTCCCCTTTTTCCGGACCCCCAAATCTCGGGGTGCAAGCTTCAAGTGCTGTCGCTGTTCCTTCTGCTTGGCGGGGTCTCTGGGTGGCAGTGTCTCGCGGACAGGCGCAGTGGGTCGCCCCTCCTATGATCATTCACTTTCACTCACAACCCTCTATTCTGGGGGTGCAAGCCTCCGTTCCAGGTCATTCTTGCAACTGGGGCTGTGAAGAGGGGGCCAAAGGGAAAAGAGCAACAGCGACCCCCCAGACCTTTGACTTATCCTATGCCTGTGCCTTAATAATATTACCTGTGCCTTAACTATATTGGGGGTTCAGACTTGGTCCCAGTTGTACTGGGGCTGTCGCTGGTCGCGGCCCTGAGCCCCAGTAGCGTAAAAGAGGGGACCCCCCTTCCTAGCCTGCCTTGCGTTAGTAGTCCTTTAGTCTGGGATGAGAGGTGCTGACCTCAACCCCCACCTCCCAGTTTGCAGTTTCCTAATGACTCTCCCACCCCCACCTCTCCAGAGGTTTTTCCTTACTACATTTACTTTAAAAATTTCCAGGGACTGAACATAGGCCCTAACCACTTTCAGCCACATTGTGGGAACTCTGGGATCCTTTCCTTGTTCCCCATCTCCCTGACTTTGTCACTGTATCAGGAGGAACCTTTTTCTCAGTCCCAGACACCCCGCCCCCCACGGGGTAGGGAAGGGAGAGGCGCCTGCAGTCTCAGTGTGCTACAGATTTTCTTTCATCTCCTCTAGAATAAACAATGACATGTCCCATCCCATGCTTCCATTTTCGTTGTGTGCATCCTGAGATTTCTTCATTGGGATTCAGGAATTTTCTCTGTGAGGCGGGGCGAAGATGGAGGGGCTTTGGGCTCAAACCCTCCCTGCCCTGTCCCAAACTCAAGCTCGAAGCTTCAACCCTTGGCCCTGCCTCAGTTGTCACACAGGGACTTGGGGGCTTTGTGAAGAGAGAAGAGAGCAGTCTCCTTGTCTCCTTCTTCCCTCCCTGGCCCCTCCAGTTGTGGGGCTCTGTCCCTCAGCTCTTGCACTACCCAGGCCAAAGACCACCTTTTCAGAATGTGGCACAACAACCTCTTTCAGTTCATCGAATTCTGTTACCCAAGAGGGCCCAGCTTGGAGGAGGATTATTTAGTTTCTACTTCCCCTAACTTCCCTTGTCCACTTTTTGTGTTCTTGGTATGGAAACCTGGAGGGAGCTAGGAGTTCTTTCTCCAAGTCTGTCTCCAAGGCCAGAAAACAAAGTGTACCCTGATGAACCGATTTTCTTTCCTTAAGACTTCAAACATATCAAGGTGGGACTTCCCTGGCAGGGTCCAGTGTTTATGACTCCACACTTCCACTGCAGGGGGCATGGATTTGATCCCTGGTCAGGGAACTAAGATCCTGCATGCCCAATGGTGCAGCCTTAAAAATAACATGTATCAAGGTGCTCCTTGATCTCAGCTGTCTCTGTGTTCTGGATTGGAGAGTCTTAATGGACCATTTTCCTCTTCCTATTTCTCTTACTTTATCCTTAACCATGGCCAAAGTGGACTACATCCTCAGCCTTGGTTCCTCATCCTCAGAATTTTCAGAGTCATACTCTGTCAGGCGTTGACCTTGATAAGCTTCCTCCAGTTTGATCTTGTAACTGTTGTCCTCCGACTGTTGGGGTCCTCTCAGCTTCTCAGATAGTTTTTTTGAGAGGGAAATCTTGCCTTTTTTTTTTTACCCATGTGTACTGGGGAGCGTATTCTGTCTTCTCCAGTCTCTGAGAGAGCCCTACACATGGTAACCTCCCCTTTCTCCATAGAACCTGGCCTTGGGGAGGGTTTGCTTCTGTGGGGGGCAGAGGCGCTACCCTTCATTAGTGTCTCCAGCTGCCCTCCTCTCTCTGGTCCCTCCGTTAATCTCATTTACTGGTGTCCGTATTAATCTAGTAAGGGAGGCCCCTGAGATGGTACTCAGTGAGTTAGGAAGGGGACTCAGGGGTCAGGTTGGGTCTTTCACTCCTAAAGGCCAAAGGGAGACCAGGAATTTACTCTGAGGTTCTACCTACTTCCTCAGTCATGGAACCTGGAAGCTGGCATGCATTCCTACCCCCTTTCTGAGCCCTACCGTCTCTGTTCCTCCCCCACCCTCCCCTTTCTTCTAGTATATCCGATTAGCTGGCTGGCCTCTGGGCATTTGTAGAGGTGGGGGAGTCCTGGGGCCCCCTTGCCAAAGACTTGGGAACCAGCAAGGCCAGCTGGACTGGTTTAGCTTAGTCCTGCGAGGGGGGCTGATGCCAAGTACCTGCTAGTTGAAGGGCTCGACAGTGGTCCTTGCCCGGGGCGCGCAAGGTGATGGGGAGTGATTCCCTCCTGGGGCAGAGGCTGCAGTAGGGAGACTGAGGCAAGGAGGGTGGAGTGGGGTGGGATGGAGTACAGAATGGGAGAAGCAACTCGAAGGAGGGAGGTTACGACACGGGGAATGGGCTTAGGGTAAAGAGGAAGTGGGGGGAAGCTGATGAGGCAAGCAAGGATGCTGGGGATGGAGGTAGAGAAGGGGAGCGGTGCACGTGGCCGAGGGGCTGGAGCTCTGGGAAAGGGCTGAAGAAACGGACTTCAGAGGAGGGGGTGTGCTGGGGAGAAGGCGGGGGTCCTAGGCTGGGAGCAGGAAGAGTTGCGGGGGTCGGGGGGTGCAGATTTGGGAAGAGAGGAGAGGTGCCAAGGGCCTGGCGGGAGAGGGGGCTGTGGGGAGGGTGGAGAGAGGGGAGCCAATGGGCTGGTGGACAGGGAGGGGGAGGAGCTGGTCAGGCCCCAGGGCCTTCCGCACTGCACTGGCGGGGGATGCAGAGGCGCGCCGGGGCGGGCCGCCTGGAGCCCTAGGCGCTGGGCCGGCCCCCGTGACGCCTCCGTCCCCGTCCCCAGAAATACCGCTACCAAGATGAAGACACGCCCCCTCTGGAGCACAGCCCGGCCCACCTCCCCAACCAGGTAAACGCCCCCGAGCTGGTGCACGTGGCGGAGAGGAACTTGTCCCACCTCGAGGCCGTCCAAGGGGTCGTGGGCCACGCCCACTTCTCCCCCCTCAAGGTAGGAGACTCAGGCGGCCCCCTCCCCAGTGCAGCCCTTGGAGCCTCGGAGCTACAACTACCCCCAAGGCCCGGTAGGGCGAGAGCCGGAGGTGGGGGTCGGCTGGGGCTGGGGGGCTGGGCTTGGGCTCCTGGGGCCAGGGGAGGGGGCATTGGGGGCGTTGGAAACACCTGGTTCCTAAAGAGGAGAAACAGAGGCCAGGCAAGAGGGAGCGGGTGTAGTTTACAGCCCTTGTGTGCGTGCGTGTGTGTCTGCGTGTGTGCGTACACGTGTGTTGAGATGCGAGCGTTCCCCAGGATGCTCCCCGTGCCTGGGCCCTCTTCATTACTTCACACACCCCCACCTCCGTTTCCATTTTCTGTGTCCAGAGCTCTGTTCAGAACTCCTGCTGCCCTCATTTGCTCTTGGCCCTTCGTGGCCTCCTCCCCCCACTTCCGGCCTCTGGGCCTGGCTCTCCAGCCCTTTCCATCTGTCTAGCCTGAGATTTCTGGTTGCCCGGCCTTTCTGCCTCTGTCCCCTGCCTCGGCCTTTGCACCCCTCCTGTGCCTCCCCTCCTCGCTGCCTTTCCCTCTCTGCTGGCTGATGCTGGATGCTGTCTCTCTCTTCCTCCCACGCACTCTCCTTCTTCCTCTCCCCGATCCCCAGCTCAGGCTCTCTGGCCAGGATGAGTCCTCTGCCTGGGTCAGCCGGCTCCCTTTCTCCATGTTAACCCCCTTCCCTACTCATCACTTCTGTCCTTTCCTCCTATGCCTCCTCTCTCTCCTCCTCTTGGACACTTACCTCCATGCAGATTTCTTTCTGTACTCCCCCCCCCCCATTATTATTCACCACCACCTGTCTCCCCTTCTTTTCTGTGCTCACAGTATGTTTTCCCTTCTCCAGTCCTGGGGAGGCCCTGTTTTTGAGATCTTCCATTTTCCAGGCCACTTCCCATCTTCTTCCCCCTCAGTCTCCTCTTCTGGGGGTGTATGCTGGGAGGAATGGAGTGTACCATGCTGGCTGTGGGATTCAGGGGAACACTGGGGTCAGGGGTCAGATTCCAGGATCTTGTGGGATGTCCTGGGAAGGGGGAGGTTGTTGACGTTTCACCAAGAAGATGGAGAGGAGGTTCCTGAGTTCCTGAGCCTGGGAATGAGGAGGCAGAGGCTGGGCAGCAGTAGGTTCTGGGGTGAGAAGGAGGTGGTTGGAGAGGAGTTGGAGAGGGAAATACCATTCTCATGCAGGTAGAAAAGTGGAAAGACAAGAGGAAGGTGAGAGGTCCTAGGCCAGGAGACAGGCAGGAGGAACCAGGGAGGAGGTTGAGCTGATCGAGGGCAAGGAGAGGAGGAGATGGGTGCAGAGGATTCCTGTGGAATGCTGGGGGCTGCAAGGACTAAGGAAAGAAGATGCTTTTTTCCCCTCAAGATGGGGCCATTCAGTCCCTGGGGAAGGGGAAGGGGAAGAGGAGCGAAGGTGGTTGTACAGAGGTAGGGAGACTTGGAGTCTGTGCCCAGGAAGCAGAGGGGAGTGGGTGCTGGAGGCCCTGGGTGTGGGAGGGAGGACCCATGACAAGGCCTGAGCTGGGGGACAGGAGAAGCCTCAGTTTTCAGAGGGTTGAGAATGAAGGATTGTGATTTGGGTATAGAATCTTGAGGGTCAGAGAATGAAGTAAGGGAGAGTGTTTGGTGATCTCTCTGAGGAATCATAAGTTAGGATGGAGGATAAGAGCAGGAGACTGATGCTGGATGGGCCTGGACAGGGGCACAGGGCGGGGAAGTGGATGGAGAATGGAGGCTGGGGTTGGAAGATATCGGATGGGGTGGCGAGAGGGGTGTTTTATCTACAGCTACACAGATGAGATGAGATGAAGGTAGTTGGGGATAAAAGATGGAGCCTGGGGCAGGAAGTTCTAGGGTAAGGTTGAGGATGGCAATTGAAAACAGGCTGTGGGACAGAGGATGGACATGCAGATGGGATGTAGGCAGTCAGTGGCTATTGGCTGGACAGTAGCATTTGCTGAGATTTGAAGGGTCAGAGGATGGATTTAATAGATTTATGGGTATGAAATATATCACGGAGCTTGAAAATATGTAGTACTGGCATATCGCAGTAGGAGAGAGGAAAGACCCCTTGGGAAGGAGAGAGCCAGGAGTCTGGGGAATCCTTGATGAGTGCCTCGCGCTTGGTAGGCTCCAAATAAATATTTGTTTAAGGAGGAGACAGGTTGGGGACCCCGGAAGGAGGCTTTTGGCTGCCTTCCCCATTGCTATGGAAACGTGGCTTCGGTTGCCCTGGCAACTGGGGAAGCCCCTAGGACCGGCCTAAAGCGGCCCTGCCCTAGAATCTAGAGACCCTGCTGTGTCGAGGCGACTGACGTCAGGGGCCTGGGCACACCCCACTTTAACCCTTTCCCGGATGAAATAGGGCAGGGGTGGGGGTAAGAGTAATGAGAGGCTAGGACCCGGATGTCTTTCACCACTCCCCTTTCCTGACGTTCTTTCCACTGCGTAGGGTGAGGGGCGTAGGGGAGGGAGGAAGGAAGGTTATTCAGGAGGCGCTGCGCCCTCAAACCTCTTCAGCCTGGACTTCTTTCTGCCGGGCTACCTGGGGGGCGGGGCCAAGAGCAGGAGAGGCGGGGCTAGCGGACCAGATTCTGCCTTTGGGAATCTGGTCGCTCTTAGGCCACGCCCCATCTCCCCCTCCCGTTGTCCTGGCGACAGGGCCTCCAGGAGGTGGGTCTCCCCAGGCCTTGGCTGGGCTTAGATACCGTTGCTTGGCAACAGGATCCCTAGAGGAAGGAGTAGATTGAATGGTGGGTGGGCGAGAAGAAGGGTGGGGCCTGCATCTTGGGGAACCCCGGATTCCGGGGGCCCAGGGTTTAGGGCACATGTGTGTGAAAATGAGGGGCAAGTCTGAGGGAGGGTTATGAAAAGATCTGGGTGTAGGTGGGTAGATAGGGACAGGGATGGGTTAGGACCTATTGGACAGGAGCCCTGTGGTATGTGTGTGTAGTACATAAGGCATGTAGCATTCTGTGGTGTTACATCCGGTGAGAAGCTCCCCCCACTAGCCGGCCCCCCCCCTCCCGTCTCTATACCATCTGCTGCTCCCCAATCTGGCTGTCTCTCTCTTCCTGCTTCTCAGACACCTCCACATGCAGGGGGCCTGGGCTGGGCAGAGTTGGGGCCAGCACGTGTACCTGTGTGTTTGTAACGTGGATCAAGGCTAGGTCCTTCAGGGAGTCGAAGGGAACAGAGCCGTCCAGGTTAAGAGGCTGAGAGGGTAGCCATGGTGGGGGGATCTCTTGGTTACAGGCTCCCTCTTGAGCCAAGGCTCAGGCAGCTTTTCATCTCCTTTTTTCCCTTGCAGGCCAATTCTCCCCCTGTGATTGTCAACACAGACACCCTAGAAGCCCCGGGATATGTGAGTTGTTTAGATTTTGGGGCTTTTACAGAAGGGAGGAGGGAAGGTCAGGTCCCAGCAGCAGGGTAGGGTCAGGTGCTCAGGCTGGAAGTCTGTCTCACGTCTCTTGTGTTTCTGGCCCGTGCTGGAGTTGCAGGTGAACGGGACAGAGGGGGAAATGGAATACGAGGAGATCACATTGGAAAGGGTGAGCAGGCTCATGCAGCCCAGGTCCTCCCGCCTTGCCCCCTGTCTGTGCTTCTCTCTGTGCCTGTGTTTTCTCAGTGGCCAGCCTCTTAACCCTGCCCCTTCCTGCTCCGGTCACAGCTCCCCAACCCTCTCCCCTCCCCTCTTGCCCCATCTAGAGTAGGCGGAGAGGGGAGCTGACCCTCTTCCCCTCCTTCTGCCCAGGGTAACTCAGGTCTGGGCTTCAGCATCGCAGGTGGCACTGATAACCCCCACATCGGTGATGACCCTTCCATCTTCATCACCAAGATCATTCCTGGTGGGGCTGCAGCCCAGGACGGCCGTCTCAGGTGGGGAGAGGAGACGGGTTAGGATGCTGGCTCCCTTGAAAGGGAGGACCGGGGCGGCAGGAAGCTCCTGGCTCAGGCCCACCTTGCTGCCCTCAGGGTCAACGATAGCATCTTGTTTGTCAATGAAGTGGACGTGCGGGAGGTGACCCACTCAGCGGCGGTGGAGGCCCTCAAAGAGGCAGGCTCTATTGTCCGCCTCTACGTCATGCGCCGGAAGCCCCCGGCTGAGAAGCTTATGGAGATCAAGCTCATCAAGGGGCCTAAAGGTAGCGACCCAGTTAGGTTGCCACCCTCCTCCCGCTGTCCTCTGCCCCAGGGGACCTAGGGACCCACCTCTGCCCTCCTCTCTGCCCAGGTCTTGGCTTCAGCATCGCCGGAGGTGTCGGGAACCAACATATCCCCGGAGATAACAGCATCTATGTGACCAAGATTATCGAAGGGGGTGCCGCCCACAAGGACGGGAGATTACAGATCGGAGATAAGATCCTAGCGGTGAGTGGGGACCCCCGTCACTCTTCTAGCCCACACCTGGGTCCTGCCTGCTGGCCTGGTGCCTACCCAGGCTTCCTGATGGGCTCGCCCTCGGCACGTCTGTCTTGAGATTGCTTCTGGTTCCGTCTGAGCTCTGCTTCCCTTGGCCCCAGGTCAACAGCGTGGGGCTGGAGGACGTCATGCATGAGGATGCTGTGGCAGCCCTGAAGAACACGTACGATGTGGTCTACCTAAAGGTGGCCAAGCCCAGCAATGCCTACCTGAGTGACAGCTATGCTCCCCCAGACATCACGACCTGTGAGAGCCCTCCAAACCCTGGAGCTCCCCATGCCCCCCCACCAGTCACCCTGTGACGTCCCCATTGACCCTGCCTCTTCAGATCCTCCCCCTGAACTGGCCACGACGTCTGTCACTTCCTTTGGTTGGAGAATAGATGGAAGATTGGTCACCATGAAAGAACTAGAAAAGATTGTCAATAGTCCCTCCCCCAGAAGGCACTAGATGGTTTTATGGCTAATTTTATCAAATCCTCATGGAATAGGTAATTCTTATGCTTTTTCTGAGTGTAGGGAAAGATAAAATGTTTCACATTTCATTTTATAAGGGCATTTGAAAAATGGTGACAAGGATAATGTAAGAAAGTAGGGAGATCCCTGGTGACCTAGTGGTTAGGATTCCGGGCTTTCATTGCTGTGGCCTGGATTCAGTCCCTGGTCAGGGAACTAAGATCCTGCAACCCCATGGTTCAGCCAAAAAAAGGGGAAAGTATAGGTTAATTTTGCTTCTGAACAGAGATGTAAAAGTTTCTAATAACATAGTTGCAAAACAAACACAGTGGTATATTAAGGGAGTAACATTGTCACAAAGTTGGGTTTATTTCAGGGAATTAAAGGTGTTTCCATATTATGAAACCTCTAAGTATGAAAAAAAAGACAAAAAAAAAAAAAAAAAAAAGTTAAGGGAGGGACAGACTTCTTTGGCAGTCCAGCAGTTGACTCCATGCTTCCACTGCAGGGGGCACAGAGTTCGATCCCTGATCACTGGTCATTGGGGAGTTAAGATCCCACCTGCCATGTGGCGTGCCAAAAAAAAGGTAGAAAAAACAGTACTGTTTATTTTAGAGAGATGTGGAAAGGCATTTGATTAAATTCAACATCCTATTCTGAGAGGAAACTTAGTATACTAGGAACAGAGGAGTTTTCCTTAACATGATCGAAAAGTGTTACCAGAAATCAACAGTGAACACATTGTAATGATAAAATCCTATCTGTGTGTCCATTAAGTTAGGAACTAGGCAAGGAAACCTCTTGCTGCTACTGTTAGTCCACATTGCTTTAGAGTAGGGTTTCTCAGTGTTGGGACTATTGACATTTTTGTCCTTGACAATTCTTTGTTGTGGGGGGTGTTGTTCTGTGCACTGTAGTATGTTTAACAGCAGCCCTGGCCTCTATCAGATGACAGTGGTACCCTTCCCCTCCAGTCAGAACAACCAAAAATGTCTTTAGACTTTGCCAAATGTCCCCTGGGGGCAAGGGGGTTGCAAAATTACCCTGCTTGCGAATCACTGCTGTAAAGATTTCAGGCAGTGCAGCAAGAGAAAAAAGAATAAATAAATGTTACATTTCAATGGGGAGAAACAGACTTATCCTTATTTGTAAATTATACTTTTGTCCATCTAGATTAAAATCTAAGTGAATTAAATGAAAACCTTAAAAATAATAAGTAGGGTTAAGAATGTGGCCATATGTAAGATTAAAAAGCAAGAACTCATAACTTCCCGGCAATAAGAAAATATAATGGGTAAAAAGATCCTTTTTGCCATAGGAAAAATGCTCTATAAAACTCTTGGAGGACTTCCCTGGTTGCCCAGTGGTTAAGACTTCACCTTCCAATACAGAGGGTATGAGTTCAATCCCTGGTCGGGGATCTATGATTTCATATGCTTCTCAGCCAAAAAACCAAAACATAAAGCAGAAGCAATATTGTAGCAAATTCAATAAAGACTTTAAAAATGTTTTAACATTAAAAACATCTCTAAAAAACTTCTTAGAAAAATAAGCTTGACCAGAGGGCAGATTTATACAGTAAATGACCTGTGTCAGATTTTATCAGGTAAATGATGAAACTTTACCGAAGGGCATAAAAGAACACTAAAGAACTGGAAAGTCACAGCATGTTTCCTGATGCAAAAAACATAATATGCTAAAGATCTCAACCCTCTCCAAATTTTTCTCTAATTTTATGCAATCTTCATCAGAATGTTAATGTTCACCCCCCCCCCACCCCCAACTGGAAAATTACATTTGGGAGAAGAGCTAAGAAATTTTTGGAAAAGAATAATGAGATGTGACTACTTCATCCAAATCTGAAATCATACTGTAAGACCATATTAAAATTACACGGTCTTGTTTCTAGACACCATAACCTATCAGAGGGAACCTTTACTCCTTGGAGAAAGGGCCAGATCTAAGACTTGAGCAAGGAATGTGTAAGATGAACTTGTAACATCTTTCATATTAGCAAAACTCTTTGCGACCCCATGGGCTGTCACCCATCAGACTCCTCTGTCCGTGGAATTCTCCAGGCTAGAATACTGGAGTGGGTTGCCATGCCCTACTCCAGGGGATCTTCCTGACCCAGGGATTGGACCCAGGTCCTCCTGTATTGCAGGTGGATTCTTTACTATCTGAGCCACCAAGTTTTCACTTGAGAACTTTCCCATTTTCTAGGAAAATCATTAAAAGAACAAGTTACCTTTTAAACCTTTAAAAAAAGAAGAAAGCAAGGAAGATATTCATGGATTGTGTCAAAGAGACAGGAGCCAAATTGAAACTGGTTGTTTAACCAAAACTCAGTAAATATTTTAAAATCTACAGGATTATAAGGATACTTCAAAACAACTAGGTACCTTTGGAAGATGCTAGGGAATTTGTACATTCTGAATACTGGCAAGCAAAGGGAAAGAGTCAAGCATTTATTCTCTTTTCCTATGCATATTGCACCATAGAGTGACTGATGATTGACCTGGGAACATTCTTTTTTACAGACAAATTATCACTAATAAATGTTCCTCCCTAAAAAAAAATATATATATATATATATATATATACACATGGGCACTATTTTGCCATCCTCAGTGAACTGTCAATCAAGTCCAGGCAGTGATGGTCAGTGGCTGCTAAAACTCTTAGGTGAGAGGCTAATGGTGAGCTTTATAATGGATGGGTCAGGCTGACAAGACCCCAACCTACAGATTTGTATCTCAAAAAATGCAACCTGACATCGTGTCCTGTCATGATGCAGGAAGTACGCAGCAGCATCTAGGAAATACTTCTGTCAAAAATTGAACTTGAGTCTCTATACAAGTGACCACTTGACAGGAGATTCAGGGCAGGGATGTAAGTAGTGATCTACTTGTTAGGGTTTCCCACTATTTCCTAAAAGAAGGTGGGAAAATCTGCTGGACAAATGACCAAGTTTTCCCACCAAATGAATGATCAGGAAGTGGGGGAAACAAAGGGAAAGGAATTTTATAGATGATATGAGAGATGGTTCAACCGAACGAAAATCCCCAAAGCCTGGTGTTAATATTCCCCTTGGCTTCATACCCTTGGCATACTTAGGTCGTGTACCCTTCAGATCCACTTGCCCCTAGGAGAACCCACCCCCACCATGACCTTTGAATTCCTGCCCCCTGATATTGCTGTGACCAGATGTCCCCTGTACACCCCAGCCTCATTTCTCTGGCACAGTGACATCTCTTTCCCCTGAGCCTGGTTCTGCTGCTTTCCTCGGGAGGAGGTGGAGTGGTGGGCGCTGTCTCCCTCCATGCATTTTCCATTGCATCCGTCCTTCCCCCATGTCTTCCCTCAGCTTATTCCCAGCACCTGGACAATGAGATCAGTCACAGCAGCTACCTGGGCACTGACTACCCCACCGCCATGACACCCACCTCCCCTCGGCGCTACTCCCCCGTGGCCAAGGACCTGCTCGGGGAGGAAGACGTCCCCCGAGAACCGAGGCGGATTGTGATCCACCGGGGCTCCACAGGCCTGGGCTTCAACATTGTGGGTGGCGAGGACGGTGAAGGCATCTTCATCTCCTTCATCCTGGCTGGTGGCCCTGCAGACCTCAGTGGGGAGCTGCGGAAGGGGGACCAGATCCTCTCGGTAAGGGAAGGCCAGCCCCTGCCCGGACCGCCCCCTCCCCTGTAGCCGGGGCTCGTGTAGGCTGGAGCCCGGCCGCCATCTCCAGTAACTCAAGCTCTCCCCGCTCTCTCTAGGTCAATGGCGTTGACCTCCGCAATGCCAGCCACGAGCAGGCTGCCATTGCCCTGAAGAATGCGGGTCAGACAGTCACGATCATCGCTCAGTATAAACCCGAAGGTACTGGGCCTGAGACATGGGTTCAATCCCTGGGTCAGGAAGATTCCCCTGGAGAAGGAAATGACTACCCACTCCAGGATTCTTGCCTGGGAAATCCCATGGACAGAGGAGCCTGGCGGGCTACAGTCCATGAGTTTGCAAAGAGTTAGACGTGGCTGAGTAAACGGGAATAACCAAGCCTGAAGCTCCCCCTCTCAGATGGTGCTCAGAACTCTGTCTCCTGGCTTCTGCAGAGTTTGGGGGAAGGGGAGGGGAGAGGCTGACAGTAGGGAGGGGCCAGAGCTCAGGAACCTTCTTGTCCTTCCTCAGAGTATAGCCGGTTCGAGGCCAAGATCCACGACCTTCGGGAACAGCTCATGAACAGCAGCCTGGGTTCAGGGACTGCCTCCTTGCGGAGCAACCCCAAAAGGGGTTTCTATATCAGGTTGGGTGCTTCCTGGCTGGGCCTCTCTTTATACCATAGCCCCTTAGCCAGCTCTCGCTCCTCAATCTTGCCTGGCTCCTGTCCCGCCTCCCACACCAGGGCTGGAAACACACAGGTTAGCATTGAGAAACACTCCATAGTGACTAGAAAACAGCCTCAGCCTCAGTGATCCCTACTGCTTCGAGCCCCTAGTCACCCTGGCACCTTTCTTGGGACCCCCAGCTGCCGCAAGGCCTGGTAACTCAAAGGTTAATGCCTGGCAGAGTAGGGGACCTCTCAACTTTTGGAATATTGCCCAACCCCTTGGGATAACACATTCCAGGGGAAGTGGACCACCGCTGTCTCCAAGCTGACCCTGTCTCCCAGGTGGCATCTTGCTACCTTCTTAGGGCTCCTTCTCCCACTGGCTCCTCTTTCTCGTCTGCCCCAGGCGTAAGTGCTTTGTCCGAGCCTCTTCCCTTCCCTCCCTCTGGGCTCCTGGTCCACTCACATAGCTTCCCCTGCCACTCGCTTTGCCAGTGTCTCTCAGAGCAGTCAGCCCAGGCCTGACCTCTTCCCCACGGTCCAGACCTGCAGCTCCAGCCATCTGCTTTCTGGACACATCCCTGGGGTTGTCCCACAGGTGTTCACACTCAGCATGTCCCAAAGTTAGCTCACCTCTTTTCCCCTGCGCTCATGCTCTCTGTCCTGCCCAATCGGTGTCTCTCTTCCTGAATGGCACCGCTGTCTGCCGAGACAGCTGGCTCAAACTGGAGCCTCGCTCGGCCCTTCTATCCTTGCCGGGTCCAGTTGGCTCCCAGGGCTGGTCAGTTCTAACTCCCAGATGATGCTGATGATCCTGGAGTCCCTTCCCATCTTTCTAGCCCTGGTGCTTTGCTCGGCATCTCTGGTGTCTCTGCAGTCATTCCCTCCCTTGTCCTCACCCTGGAGTTGTCACTTACAGGTTGTCACTTAAGGCTACCCTACTGCTGAGGGTAGCCGGACTTGGGTCCATGTTACCCTCTGACTATGACGTGCATGCATATGGCAGCTGCTTTCTTAGGAGGGCACTGTTCTCAATCTTACTCTCGAAATGCCCCCGATCCATAGGCTGTCTGATCCCTGACATAGTGATAATGGAGTGGCTGTTCATAGTTGTAGAGCTTTAGGTTCCAACACAGTTCTGAGGTTCCTCAGAATCCACAGCATCTCTGGGAGAGCCACCAGCAGCCATGCGGGTCTGTAGACCCCTAGGCAGAAAGTCTGGGCTGGGTCTCGGGGGCCTCGGCCCTCACCAGACTGACTGGGGGCTGCCTGCCCTCCAGGGCCCTGTTTGACTATGACAAGACCAAGGACTGCGGCTTCCTGAGCCAGGCCTTGAGCTTCCGCTTCGGGGACGTGCTTCATGTCATTGACGCCAGCGATGAGGAGTGGTGGCAGGCGCGGCGGGTCCACTCCGACAGCGAGACCGATGACATTGGCTTTATCCCCAGCAAGCGGCGGTGAGCCTGCCTGCCCCTGAAGCTCCCAAGGGCCACAGGGTGGGCAGCCAGCAGGGAGGGCATGGGTCCACCCCCAGCTTCTTGGGGATCTGTCTGCTGACCCTTCCCAGGCACCACGACTTGGGAGAAACACCTCATTTAGGAGCGTGGGGCACAGGGGCTGCTGGGAGATGGATTTCTCAGCTGCCCTGGGGTGGGGGCAAGAGGGCCCCTCACTGGGCATTTCTCTACCCCCATCCCTCCATGTATCCCTCAGGGTTGAGCGACGGGAGTGGTCACGGTTAAAGGCCAAGGTAAGTGGAGAAGGCCGGGAGCTCTGGTGGAAGAGCGGAGGTGGGGGGGTGGTGTGTGGCGCTCGTGGGTCTGGACTCCTGACCAACTGCGTGGCCTGCTCTGTCTCCCTAGGATTGGGGCTCCAGCTCTGGATCACAGGGTAGGTTGGGTCAGTTTGGGAAGACCTGTGGGGAGAGGGGCCCTGGGCTTCTCTTGAGTCCTCAGGAAGGAAGGTGGGGGCCCTGCATCCCCTGCCTCCAAGGCCCTTGCAGATGCCCTGCCTCCTGTTAGGTCGAGAAGACTCGGTTCTGAGCTATGAGACGGTGACACAGATGGAAGGTGAGCCCTGGCAGCATGCCCTGGCCCAGACCCCCTGGCCCGGCTCTGCCCCTCCCCTCCCACCCCACCCCCTGCCTGACTCTGATCTTTGCCCCCGCCTGACCCCCACGCTCTCCTCAGTGCACTATGCTCGCCCCATCATTATCCTCGGGCCCACCAAGGACCGCGCCAACGATGATCTCCTCTCCGAGTTCCCCGACAAGTTCGGATCCTGTGTTCCCCGTGAGTGCAGGGCCTTGGGGGGCAGTGGGGGGTGGGGCCCAAGGGGTCACAGGCAGAGCCACTTCTGAACACAGGGGTTCTCAGACAAGGGTGCTGCTCAGCCACCCTCACGTCCACCGGGACCATCCTAGGCCGGGGACTTGGATAACCCAGAGATGCTGGGGGAGGCAGCTCCACCCATCTCCCCTGGCCTGGGTCTCCCCAGCAGCCCCATTCCCCAGAGGACCAGCTGGGCTCTCTGGGGGGTCGCCATAGGCAGGGTTGAAGCTGGAGGGATGGTGGTTAGATCTTTGGGGGGCGGGGTGACTTCCTGGCAGATACGACGAGGCCCAAGCGGGAGTACGAGATAGATGGCCGGGATTACCACTTTGTGTCGTCCCGGGAGAAAATGGAGAAGGACATTCAGGCCCACAAGTTTATTGAGGCCGGCCAGTACAACAGCCACCTGTATGGAACCAGCGTCCAGTCCGTGCGAGAGGTGGCAGAGCAGGTAGGAGCCGCGGCCCGTCCTCCTCCTCCTTCCCCCCATGGCCTTCCTCAGCTCTCTAACTCTCTTTCTCTCTCTGTCTCTTTCCCTGCTGGGTCTCCACTCCGCTCCTCCACCTCCTTCTCCTCTTGGGCAACTCTGTCTGCCTGCCTGCTCTCCGGTGCCCTGCTCCCCACCCCCCGCCTCCCCTCCTCCCTCCCTCCCTTGGTCCCTGACCCCAAACTTCATGCTGCCATCTGTCCCCTCTCCCCCTCTCCTTGCCCCATTTCACCTCTCTTCCTGTGGCCTTGCCCTTGGTGGCTTGGCCCCCACAACTCGGTCCCTCCCTTCTGCCGGCTCCCCTTTGGCCCTCTCCCTTCTCCCCTCACCTTTCCTGGGGTCTCCACTGGCCTCTCCCACTCCTCTGCCATCACCTTCTCCCTGCTGCCCCCACCCTGCCCTCTTCCCTCCATGGCTCCTTTCTCCATCTGCCTCTCCTCCCTCCCATCTGTCTCTCCTTGTTCCTTCCATCTGTCTGTCCTCTGTCCGTCCTCCCCTCCCTCCTCCCTCTATCCTACTTCCTTTCTCCTTTGTTTTCTCGCCCCACCTGCCTGACTCCGCCCCCTTGGCCTTGCTCTGCGCCATCTTTTGGGTCCCCTCCCTGCCTGTCCTCTCTGTTCCCTCCATCCCCTCCCTCCTGTGCTGGCCCCTCCCTTGCTCTCCGTCTGTCCCTCTCCTTTTTTCACTCTGTCTGTCTATACCCTTCCTGCCTCCACTCTCTTTGCCCATGCGTCTTTTGACATCCATCTCACTTCCCTTTTGGCCAATCTCGTGTCCTCCACTTTTCCACGTCCTGTGTGTGGGTCCTGTCCTGCCACCTCTGTCTGTCCTTTCCCACCACCTGCTGGTCCCCCTCCACCCACCCTGCCTGCCCCCAGGGGAAGCACTGCATCCTTGATGTCTCGGCCAATGCCGTGAGGCGGCTGCAGGCGGCCCACCTGCACCCTATCGCCATCTTCATCCGCCCCCGCTCCCTGGAGAATGTCCTGTGAGTATGGTCTCAGAGGGTTTCCCCTCGGCTCTCCCACACCAAGCCCCGGGCCTCAGATGGCCTCTGTGTCAAGCTCTTCCCTCAGAACCCTGAACAGCAGCTCCAGCAGCCCCTGAGGGGAATTGGAGCTAGAACCCAGAGGGCCCAGGGAAGCCCAGGCCTCTTCCCTCCTCTTCTGCCCTGGGCTAGGCGGGACTACAACTCCCAGCAACCCCTGGGGCATACACCTGCTGGGCATTGGGGCTGTTGGGAGTTAGAGTCTGAATCCCTTCACTGGGCTGTCAACTGGAAGGATGAGGCTCTGGAGAGGTTCCTGAAGTGGCCACACCTGGCTGGGGTGGGTTGTGGGGAGGGGGCCCATCTGTGGCCCCAGAGGATATTGGGAATTGTATTTTTTGCTTCATGCTCTAGATAAGAAAATAGTGGGGACATCCTTGGTGGTCAAGTGACTAAGGCTCTGTACTTCCAATGCAGGGGACCCAGGTTCATTCCCTGGTCAGGAAACTAGATCCCACATGCCCCGTCTAAGACCTGGTGCAGTCAAATAAATATTAAAAAAAAAAAAAGAAAAGAATGGTTGCAACTTAACATCCCTGAAGAGAGGAGATAAAGGCAGGGCAGGACCCACCTTCAGGTCTGTGTTTGTCTCACTCTCCACAGAGAGATTAATAAGCGGATCACAGAGGAGCAAGCCCGCAAAGCCTTCGACAGAGCCACCAAGCTGGAGCAGGAATTCACAGAGTGCTTCTCAGGTGAGGCTGCGGCTAGCCCGTGGCCAGCACAGGAGGTGCCTCTGGCTCAGATTCAAAAGAGGGGCCCCCACAGGGTGGGTGGTTTAGAAGGAGGTATCCCCTTTGGGTGGGTGCATCCCATGGCTCATGGACTGGAGAATTAGGAGAAGGTGCCCTTTGCCCCGGGCGTGACTCCCTGCCCCGCCCCCTCCTCGCCCCTAGCCATCGTGGAGGGCGACAGCTTTGAGGAGATCTACCACAAGGTGAAGCGAGTCATCGAGGACCTCTCAGGCCCCTACATCTGGGTTCCTGCCCGAGAGAGACTCTGATTCCTGCCCTGGCTTGGCCTGGACTCGCCCTGCCTCCACCGCCCGGGCCCTTGGTCTGGACTGAATTGCCCAAGCCCTTCCAACCCCCAGCCTCCCTCCCACCCCTTCTTATTTATTTCCTTTCTAACTGGATCCAGCCCATTGGAGGGGGGACACTCCTCTGCATGTATCCCTGCACCCCAGAACTGGGCTGCGGAACCCCAGGAACCTGGGGTCTGGGGGGGAGCCCCGGGCTCCTGATCCCAAGCCCTGGCTCCTTAGGACCACTTGCCCCTGCCCCTGCCCGCCCCCAACGCACACACACACCCACTGGGGGGCCACCTGCTCTCCCCCATCTCTTCCCACACACTTTCCAGAAGTCAGGGCCCCCCTCCAGGAGCACCCCATTGCAGGGCTGCAGGCCTCCGCGCTCCCCCCGAGGCAGGGTCTGGGGTCACTCCTGCCCCCATCATAACTCCCTAGGTCCCTTGATTTCTCATTTTATTTTTCCATTTTTTTCTTCTCAAAGGTGGTTTTGGGGGGGTTAGTGGGGGGATTCCACCATGGGCCCCCTGCCTTCCACATGCCCCCCACCTTTTTTCTTTGCCGGTTTGCATGAGTGGAAGGTCTAACTGTGGCTTATTTTTTTTTCCTGGGATCTTTTTCTTTTTTTTTTTTTCTTTTTTCTTTTGGGAATGGGGAGGGATGGGTCTAGGGAGTGGGAATGTGGGGGGGGGAGGGTAGGGGGGCAGGGTTGGGGGTCGGGTGTCTGGGAGCCAGGGGAAGACTGGAAATGCTGCCGCCTTCTGCAATTTATTTATTTTTTCTTTCGAGAGAGTGAAAGGAAGAGACGGATACTTGAAACCTGGTGTGTGGCCTGGTTATTTGGGACCTGGGTGAGGAGGGAGACCGGGTGGGAGTATAGGGATGGGTCAGGTAAAGTCAGATCCTTCTCCCCCAACACTCCTCACCTCCCCCCACCTCCCCTCAGACAGAACAGCGTGGCCTGAAGGGGGCCTTGGAGGAATCTGCAGATCAAGTCTCCAACAAAGAATGGGCCTGGGGTGGGGGCGGGTCTGGAGTTCCATCCTAGGTCCCTAAGAGGACCTGCAAATGTAGCCCAGCCCTGACCCCTTTTCTGTCTCAGTCCTGTTGGGCAGCGTAGAGTCTGCTGTCAGTCTCTAAAGAAAAACAGAGAAGACGGTTCATTCATGTTCATGGAGCTGTGGACAGAGCTGGTCTCTGGCAATGACCTTCACAGAAGTGTGCCCATAAGAAATGCTGCATAATTATTCATTGTATTTCTTTTTCCTTTTTTTCATTGATTTCTCTATGTCTGCCCCCTCTCTGTAGGAGATATTTGAAGCAATTTTGCAGATAATAAGGGTGGGGAAATAGAATGCGATACCAAAGATAAGAATAGAAACAGATGTGTTAGCTGTGAGGATGAATATGATTTCTGAACTTCCTGGTACACAAGGCAAAAAGGGAAATGGTCCATTACATATATGTATATGTATATATATGTATGTATGTGGGCTTCCCTCTTGGTGCAGACGGTAAAGAATGCCAGCAATGCAGGAGACCCTGGTTTGATCCCTGGGTCAGGGAAGATCCTCTGGAGAAGGTAATGGCAACCCACTCCAGTATTCTTGTCTGGAGAATCCCATGGACTGAGGAGCCTGGCAGACTACAGTCTATGGGATCCCAAAGAGTCGGATGTGACTAAGCGACTAAGAATGTATGCATGCATATATGTATATGTATACATATAAAATATATCACGAAGGAGAAAATGTGGCTCTTTTAGGGAGTCAGATGTTCCTGGCTTTTGCTCCTAACTGAAGCTCCTCAGGTGCTCTGTTGGATACTGGTTCCCAGCTTCGCTTCTGCCACTGTTCATATGCTTGACAGGCTCTTCTTACTCCAGCCTCAGCTACAGCATGAACGAGCCATTGCTGGCACTGCTGGGAGGATCCCACCTACCCATTTCTCTCTCATTCAGGGACCCTAGACAGGAAGGCTGAGGTGGGGTGGTTAAGTCCTGAACTGTGCAAAAGGGCAGTTTTTTTGTAGCCTTCCCTGACAAAGTTAAGAGTTGGATGGAAAAGACTAACCCTCAGGTGATGGGGCTGGGGAGGTAGGTATGGGAAGGGGTTGGGAGGGTGGGGGGCTGCCCTAGCTTGACTGGATCCAAGGCTAGAGGCAGAGATCCCCAGAGGTGTGACCCTTAAACCGAAGGTCCTCTCTGGACTGCCCCAAGGTTTTCTGAGCAGCACTGTATCCAGCAGAGGCCAGTCCTGGGGGCCAGGCCCAGCCGTCTGCCTTTCAAGAACCCTCCTTGATGATTCTGAGGTCTTGCTTGGATGGAGAAGCACCACTTTTCCCCATAACCCTTCTTTTAGCATGGTTCTGCATAGGAGCAAATGGTTTGAGGCTGTGCTCACATTCTCTACCATTGGACCCGAAGGGAGAAAGCTGTGAGCCGAGGAAGGTGTGTGCAGGTAATGCGTCTGTATCTAAGGGGTTAAGGAGAATTCACCAAGAAGGGGTTGAAATCCCCTGCTTCTGCATGCGTTGTGTTCTAGATTACAGAACTGATACATGTACCTTATAAAACTGCAAATAAATATAGAAATACATATGGTTAAAAAAAGTTCCTTCCCCATCTCATTCCACATCCCCTTAGAGAGAAGCATATTAGCAGTTTGGGATGAATTCTTCCAAATCTATAAAGAGCTCTTTACAGTGGACTCCCACGCAGTTGTCGCTCAGTCGTGTCCGAATTTGCGACCCCATGGACTGCAGCACACCAGGTCTCCCTGTCCCTCACCATCTCCCGAAGTTTGCACAGGTTCATGTCTTCGTATTAGTGATGCTGTCCAGCCATCTCATCTTCTGACGCCCTCTTCTCCTGCCCTCAATCTTTCCCAGCGTTAGGGACTTTTCCAATGAGTTCAAAAACTGACTCCTTCCCCCCTCACCACTTTTATTTATTTTTAAATTTATTATTTTTTAAAAGCCTGTGTCCTCTCCACCTCTGTCTACTCCCTTCAACAAATACTTATTTTGAATCTCCCCTGGTGCCAGGCAGTGTTGAAATGCTGGGGACACAGTATTCTTGCCTTCAGGGAACTTAGGTCTCCTCAGTGGAGACAGACAGTGGGAAGTAAGGGTGTTCAGGGAATTTAAGGTAATGATGATTCTGTTGAAGAAAGGAAATGACTGCTGGGGGTGTGTCCTTGCTGGTTGACACAGGGTGGTCAGGAAGGTCTCTTCTAGGAGCAGCCTTTGAGTTGAGAGCGGACAAAGTCTGGGGTAGGGGAGTGTGCCAGGTAGAGGAAGTGAAGCAGGAAAAAGTTTGTAGTGTTGAGCAGGAGGAGGTCAGGGAGCGGAGCAGGGTTGAGGGAGAGAGAGAAGTAGAAAGGAGGCCAGAGGAGTCGGCCAGGCCTGAGGCCTTCAGGTGGGTTTTGGGGTTTTTTTTTTTTAAAGTGTTAAGAGTTTTTTCTTTCTTTTGAATTGTGTATAACATAGGCAAAATTTATCTAAGTCAATAAAATTTTAATGAATTTTGCATTCCTTAAAATTCCACTGATTCTTTCCACTGCCAATCACCTTGGTTCCTCCACAGTCATAATCTTCAAAATAAGATAGCTCTTTCAAAAAGTTTTGCCCAATCCACAGCTGTTATGTAAGTCAGCCCATAATTCTTTTAGTTGAGCCTCTTTGAGCACCAGTGGAATATGGACACACTTAAAAATTCCCCACCTGTAATCTTTGGGATCCAATTTCCTCAAGTAATTTACTTTAAGACTCTAGAAGTTAAATGTAGCAAGTAGGTTGCTATTTATTCCTTCATCTTTCCTAATATTGAAAACCCTGTTATATCCAACTTTTACTCATGAGCCTAGCAAAAAAAAAAAAAAAAGTTACAGGTCTCACTGTCACCACTGCAAGAAAATTACAATGACAGAAGCAAAACCTGTGTTCTCAGTATAGCCACATTAACCATCAGGTGGATGTTATAAACGCTGGGAAAAGTCCCCTTGGATGGGAGTGGCCAGGTTGGGTCCTGGTGGAGAAGGTACGATAGGGGGCAGTAGAGAGCCAGGGAGGAGGTGGTCATGAGTTTCCAGATGAGAGATGTGGTGTCGCTCACTGGCCAAGGAGCTCCACTTCTCTGGGTCTCAGTTTCCCTAGCTGTTAAATGGGAACAATAACCACCTGGTTGGATTCTTGAGAGGAATAAAGGGAAAAAACACATAAAACCTATGGCACACTGCCTGGCGGATATTAGAATGTGGTAAGGATGGTTGCTCTTGGCCTCTTGATATATTCTCTATTACTGAGTAAAATTGAGAGTTAAACAAAACTTGGAAGCATTTGGAGTTTTAAAATTTTCACCCTCTAAATCAAAGTAGGAAGGAGGAGTCCCAGAGAGAATCCTGGGTCACAGGACCCTGGATGTCCCAGCACAAAACACAGTGGAGCCAGGGCCAGGACCACCTGTGGGATGTGGGAGGGGGCGGGGCAGGGGGGCTCTCACTCTGTCCCAGGGAGGGGATGCTGTAGCCCTTGTGTGGGCTTATCAGGTCACCTTTTAAACTCCTGGCATTGAGCCCTTCCAGCCCGAGTGCATCTCCCAAGCCTCTCCTGTCTTCCCTCCACCCAAGGCCAAGTCAGCCTCGGCTAGATCTGGGGAACCACAGGTCACCGTCTTTGGAAGGTCGGCACTGAGCCTCCTCTGTGCCCTTCTGGCTGTTTGTCATCACCTCTTCTACTGGGATGCTGGGTATGTGACTCTGCAGTCTGCAGGGTGATGAGAGGCGGCTGCAATTCCAACCTTCTGTGTCTGGGGTCCACTCCAAATGCCAGGTTGAAAGCACTCAGAGAGGTGTGGGCAAGGGCTGAGGGGTCAGGACCCAGATCTCCTTCTCCACAGAAGGGGAGGGGGCTGTCTTAACTCAGAAAATACCCCAGGACCCCAGCTGTGTCCCAGGGAAGTTGCTCACACCCTCTGG